AACTACAACTTTCTTATATTTGATAAAGGGGCTAAAAGCATGCAATGGAGGAAGGATAGCATCTTCAACAAATGGTGCTGGGAAAACTGGAAATCCATATGCAACAAAATGTAACTGAACCCCTTTCTCTCACCATGCACAAAAGTTAACTCAAAATGGATCAAAGAGCTTGATATCAAATCAGAGACTCTGCGCCTGATAGAAGAAAAAGTTGGCTCCGATCTACATATTGTGGGGTCGGGCTCCAAATTCCTTAATAGGACCCCCATAGCCCAAGAGTTAATAACAAGAATAAACAAATGGGACTTACTTAAACTAAAAAGTTTTTTCTCAGCAAGAGAAACAATAAGAGAAGTAAATAGGGAGCCTACATCCTGGGAACAAATCTTTACTCCTCACACTTTAGATAGAGCCCTAATTTCCAGAATATACAAAGAACTCAAAAAATTAAACAATAAGATAACAAATAACCCAATCAACAAATGGGCCAAGGACCTGAACAGACACTTCTCAGAGGAGGACATACAATCAATCAATAAGTACATGAAAAAATGCTCACCATCTCTAGCAGTCAGAGAAATGCAAATCAAAACCACCCAAGATACCATCTCACTCCAGTAAGATTGGCAGCCATTATGAAGTCAAACAACAATAAGTGCTGGCGGTGATGTGGGGAAAAGGGTACACTTGTACATTGCTGGTGGGACTGCAAATTGGTGCGGCCAATATGGAAAACAGTATGGAGATTCCTGGGAAAGCTGGGAATGGAACCACCATTTGATCCAGCTATCGCCCTTCTCGGACTATTCCCTGAGGACCTTAAAGGAGCGTACTATAGGGATACTGCCACATCAATGATCATAGCAGCACAATTCACAATAGCTAGACTGTGGAACCAACCTAGATGCCCTTCAATAGATGAATGGATAAAACAAATGTGGCATTTATACACAATGGAGTATTACGCAGCACTAAAAAATGACAAAATCATGGAATTTGCAGGGAAATTGATGGCATTAGAGCAGATTATGTTAAGTGAAGCTAGCCAATCCTTAAAAACAAATGCCAAATGTCTTCTTTGATTTAAGGAGAGCAACTAAGAACTGAGCAGGGAGGAAGAGCATGAGGAAAAGATTAACATTAAACAGAGACGAGTGGTGGGAGGGAAAGGGAGAGAGAAGGGAAATTGCATGGAAATGGAAGGAAACCCTCAATGTTATACAAAATCACATATAAGAGGTTGTGAGGGGAAAAGGGGGGGAAAACAAGGGCGAGAATTGAACAACAACAGATGAGGTAGAGAGGGAAGATGGGAGGGGAGGGGAGGGGGGATAGTAGGGGATAGGAAAAGCAGCAGAATACAACAGTCACAAATATGGCATTATGTAAAAATGTGAATGTGTAACTGATGTGATTCTGCAATTTGTATTTAGGGTAAAAATGGGAGTTCATAACCCACTTGAATCAAATGTATGAAAGATGATATGTCATGAGCTTTGTAATGTTTTGAACAACCAATAAAAATAAAAAATAAAAAATAATGTTTTAGCCCTTGAAAAAAAAACTGATATGATTTTTTTAATTATTATTTTTATATCAGGAGAATGAGAGTGTTTTGTTATACTGTCCTTTGTATTCTCCCAGATTTTTAAAATTTCTTAAAATGTAAAATAAAAATCTAATTTAAATAAATTTACAGATATTTTCAAAATATACATAAAAAAAAGTTCACAGCTGTCATTGCTTTAAATATTGTTTTTTCCCCACTCCCTTCTTTGGAAACTCCTTTTACACATGTATTGGACCTTCATGACTCTTAACTTCTTTCACATTTTTCATCATTTTTCATAAAATTATAAGTTGTATTTTGTTATAAACTTGCATGTTGACAATGCATCACGTGTGTGCTGGACTACTACGCAGTGTGCTCTTTGCCTTTGCTTTTCCGCTGAGCTCCGCTCACTCCATCATGGAGGTTCATCTCAACTGATGTCTGCAGATCCAGCTCATTCCCTTTAACTGACAGTTACTCCATCTCTGAATGGACTACTGCAGCAGAGCCTGCCATCTATTCCCACTCAAACCTGACCCTACTGGACATAAGCAGCATTGGATCAAGTCCATCTCATGCCATTGTCAACCTCTTGTTCTGTCCACACCTTGACCTACAGCTGCCTCACTGGGCTCCACAGATGGCAGTGATGTGAGGGACAGAAGAAGGACTCTGTAGAGGGATGACCACTAGACTGAGCCTTGCTGCAGAACCCAGCTGTCCTTGCACATGAGGATGCTGTTGTGTGATAGAGAAATGAGCCTCTTGGCTTCAAGGGAAGCCTGGCTCACCAGCTAATACAACTACACTCCGTTCCCATTCGGAGGGACATTGAGGTCTCCCTTTCATCTGGCAACTCATGTCCTCCTGTGTATCTCCTTGGGCACATGGTGTGAGGAGCTGGAGAATGGATAATGTGGAATCGTGAGTGTTCAGTTTCCAATTCATGTCCTGCACCCGCCCCCAGGAAAAGCCAGTCTTCCCCAGCACCTCGCAGCACTTTGTGTGGTCACTCTCACCATGTCTGGGTGTTTTGATGTGAATTCCCCACTTGCTGATGAGAACTGTCTAGCTGATGTCTTGCCCTGGGCTCTCCTTCAGTGATCGTTTGTGGACTTTGCGTGGCTTTCCACAGGGTGACTTCTTTGTGTGTAGTCTTTTCATTTTCTGGACCTATCCTTTGTTGTTTATTTTGGTTGCAACTTCTCTGAGTTTGGTTCTTCCACCTCAGACATGGTGTGTATCATCAGATGTAAGTCTTCTAATGCAGGCTCTATATTTCTTTTTTATTTTTCTGTTTGTTCTTTTTCGGTATACATGATGTAAAGTGTATTTTGACGTATTCATGGAGTTTAACTTATTCTAATTAGGATCCCATTCTTGTGGTTGAACATGATGTGGAGTTACACTGATTGTATATTCATATATGAACACAGGAAAGTTATGTCCGATTCATTCTGTTGTTCCTCTTCCCATCCATTCTCTTCATTCGCCTTTATCTAATCTAGTGAACTTCTATATTTCCCTCCCCCACCCCTTATTGTGTGTTAACATCCAAATATCAGAGAGAACATTCAGTTTTGGATTTGTGGAATTGGCTTATTTCACTTAGTATGATATTCTCCAGTTCCATCAATTTACCAGCTGATTTTAAGTCCTTTGGGTATATATCAAGGAGTTGGATAACTGGGTCAAATGGTGGTGAGGCTCTTTATTTCTTAAGAGAGAAAAATAACCATTCCTTTCTTTTGTGGTGACTCAACTGTTTGTCCTATTGATATTTTTCTTCTTCTCTTTAAAAGTATTGATTTTTCCTATATATATATTTCCTATATATATGATTCAAGATTATTTGGTTCTTTTAGAGATCTAATAGTTTCATAGCTTATTGCTGTAGAAAACTTTTTTCCTCAGACCTGTCTTCCATTTACTAATTCCTTCATTAACTATATCTATTCAGGTATTTGTTTATTTGTTGAATTTTGGTTTTTTGTCTTTTTATGGTGCTGGGGATGGAACCTAGGGTCTTCAGATTGCTAGGCAAGCACTCTATCACAGAGCTATAACTTCCCAGCCCCTGGGGCTTAAATTTTAATTTCTACCTATAGAATTTTTTCAATTTCCAGAAGTTCTAGTTAGTTAATTATCAAAATTTTTCCTGTGGTTTGAATGTTTGCATCCCCCTAAAATTCAAAACCCAAACCTCCAATGTGATAGTTTTAAGAGATAGGGCCTTTAAGAAGTGATGAGGTCATGAAGGTAAAACCCCAATGAATGGGATTAATGCTTTTATAAAAGAAGCCTGGGGCAACTCGTTTGCCCTCCACCATGTGAGGGCACAACTAAAAGGTGTTATCTATGATCCCCAAAGCCAGCCCCGACCAGATATCGAATCTGTTGAATGCCTCATCTTGGATTTACTGACACCTAGAACAGTAAGTATCTGTTATTTGTAAGTTACCTGGTCCAGGGTATTTTGTTATAGCAGTCCAGACAAGGCAATTTTCCTGTTCTTCATTGAGGGATTATTTTTTTTCTCTTATTTCTTTTGTTGTTGGTAGTGGTGGTGCAGGGGATTGAATCCCAGGTTCTTGTGCATGCTAAGCAGGCACTCTACCACTGAGCTACATCTCCAGCCTCCTAATTATTTTAATTGAATAATTTTAAATATTTAGTATTAAAATCTTCATAGGATAATTATATTATCTGAATTTTTTATGGTCTTAATCAACTTGTGTTACTATTTTCTCCAGCAGATTCCAAGTTTCTGCTTTGTTGGTTGAGAAAGGGTTTTGTGATACCGCCCCCAGGCTGGCCTTGAACTGCTGGGCTCAAGGAATCTTCCCACCTCAGCCTCCCAAGTAGCTGGGGCTACAGGCCTGTGCAACTGTGCTAGATTCTATTTTTAAATTTTAAATTGTGAGTTCATCTTCAGCAGAGCTTTGGTGGAAAAAAAAAATACAATGTTTATAACGCCAGAGTGGTTTTTGTTGTACCAGGGACTGAGCTCAGGGCCTCACACATTCTAGGTAAGTACTCTACTGCTAAGCTACATCCCCAGTCCTTTTTGTTTTTTATTTTGAGACAGGGTTTGGCTAAATTGCTCAGGCTAGTCTCAAACTTGCAATCCTCCTGCCTCAGCTTTCTGAGTACCTGGCCTGTACTGTACCCAGCTCTAGAGTGTTTTGTATTTATTTCTTTTAGAGATACCAGGAGTATTACTATTCCTTAATGTCAGTTTTAATGTTAGTTTCTCAAGATTTTTTTTTCCTACTAAGGATTGAACTCAGAACCTCACTCATGCTAGACAGGCATTTTACCACTGAGCTATATTTCCAGCCCCAATTTTAGTCTCTCAATGTAAATGTCTCCCAACCATCCAAGCATTGTGATTCAAACTCCAAACCCGAGTGAAGTCAAATCCATGGTTGTATCATGTATCACTTACGTATCATCATCAGAGCCTGGTTCTAGTTGTTCCTCATCTCCTTCAATGCCAGAGGACATTCCCACCTTCCCCTCTTCTTCTTTAGGAAGCCATTGTTTTAATGTTCCTACTGTTAACGAAATGACAGCAAAATTAAAGCAGCTCAGCCTATACACTTGATGAGCAATATACAACAAAAATCCTACAGTTGTATATTGAACCATGAACCTTTAATCATCTCCATTTAAACAGAATAAGAGCCAGGCGCAGTGGCACACACCTGTCATCCCAGTTACTCAGGGGACTGGGCAGAAGGATCACAAGCTCAAGACCAGCTTGACAACTTAGTGAGACCCTGTCCCAAAAAAAGAGAGAGAAAAAAGAAGAGCTAAGGGGCTGTGTAGATCTCTCTGTCCCCTACCATGACAAGTATATGGAAAGATGTTCCATATCATTTATCATCAGGGAAATTAAAATCAAAACCACAGTGAAATATTACCTCATCTCCATTTGGATGACCCCATTAAAAAGCAGAAATGAACATGTGTCTGTGAGGATGTGGAAATATTGGAACTTTTGTGCACTGTTGGTGGCATTGTAAAATGATGCAGCTGCTATGGGAAACAGTCAAAAGCCTAAAAATAGAACTACCACATGATCCAGCTCTCCTACTTTGGGTGTAATATCATTGGGGCTAAGAGAAACAGACCTCTTCAATATGGTAATTTGCTTTGGTTTTGGGGTGGGGGGATGCTACTCGTTTGACTTACAGGAAAAACTTGCCCATCCAGGTACAGGAGGGGACTCTGAAATTCCCTTTTATACCTTAAGAGCAGGCTATGGCAGGGAACACAAATGTCATCCTCCCTATCTGAAATCCCACTGAAATCCCTTTGGTTTTCATAAGATCTCCCACACACACCTTTTCCCCCTTTTTTCTCTCTAGCTTTCATATATGAAAGAAAACACACGACCCTTGATTTTCTGAGTTTGGCTTGATTTGCTTAACATAATGTTCTCAAGTTCCATTCATTTTCCTGAAAATTACATAATTTCATTTTTTTATGGCTGAATAAAATCTCTATTTTGTTTTATTTTTTTTGTTTATTTATTTTTGCAGTACTGAGGACTGAACCCAGGGCCTTGCATATGCTAGACAAGCACTCTCCCACTGAACTGCATCCCCAGCCCGTAAAACCACTATTTTAAAATCTATAATTTAGCTGTAATCCCAGCAGCTCAGGAGGTGAGGCAGGAGGATTGCGAGTTCAAAGCCAACCTCAGCAATTTCATGAGTCCCTAAGCAACTCAGAGAGACCCTGTCTCTAAATAAAATTTTTTTTAAAAAGCTGTAATTTATTACATTTAGGTAACTTTCTAGACATTTTACATGCATTATCTCATTTAATATTTAAAACAATCCATTGAAGTTGACATTTCCATAACTCTGATTTTACAAATAAGGAAATGGAAGATAAGACTGGTTGTCATATTGGCAGCAGGAGAGCCAGAAGTTATTCCCATTCTGTCTAAGTACAGTGTCCACTCGTAACAATTATTCAGTGCTGCCTGCCAATATACTGCAAACAGGCTAAAGGTAAGCTCATCGGTGTGTCTCAGTGTGTCTCAGCATTTGCAAGGTCCTGCGTTTGATCCCCCACACCAAGAAGATTATCTTGCAAGGAGTAAAACCCATGAAAAATAACTTTTATGGTATTATAAAAGTAAATGTATGTAGTTAAAAATTAAGTGCATACTAGGCTCTCCTTCACTGACAGAAATGAACTACTATTTCTCTTTCATTCACACTCAATATCCTTTAAAATTTTTTTTTAATTTTTTTTAGTTATAGATGGACACAGTGCCTTTATTTACTTATTTATTTTATGTGGTACTGAGAATCAAGCTTAGTGCCTCACATGTGCTAAGCAAGTGCTCTACCACTGACCCACAACCCCAGTACCTCTAAAATTTTACGAAAGGAATTTATACCATCATAGTATAAAAATCATAAAACAGTCAAAGGATAAAGTATAGGTAATGATATTTATGTATTGATGGAGAAGAAATGGCTTAGTAATAAATCTAAAAAGCAATTGAATAATAAGTCTTTTAAGCAGGAAGATCATATAAACCCAGAAGTTTGAAGCCAGTCTGGGCACCATGTAAGACTCCAGATAAAAAAAAAAAAAAAAAGAGCAAAATCTTGCTAAAAATTGAAGACAAAACAAAACAAACTACATCCAGAAGAATTTTATTGCCAAAGGATAGTCATGAGTCCACCTGCAAAACAGTCAGACATAAACTGTCTCTCTCAGGTAAAGCTAAGCAATACTAGATCATCAGCTTCAGAGCTGCTGGCACTTGGCATCAGCTGTCAGCTGGTTATGTTAAAGAAAATGATACGGGCTGGGGATGTGGCTCAAGTGGTAGCACACTCGCCTGGCATGCGTGTGGCCCGGGTTCGATCCTCAGCACCACATACAAACAAAGATGTTGTGTCCGCCAAAAGCTAAAAAAAATAAATAAATATTAAAAAATTCTCTCTCTCTCTCTCTCCTCTCTCACTCTCTGTTTAAAAAAAAAAGAAAAAAGAAAATGATGCCCCTGTCCTTGGAAGTTCATGTCATTTGTTAATAGCATTTGGGATTCGCTTAGACAAAACAAATTGGCTCCTGAAAAGGATGGATCTCCTCTCAATCTCCTCTCCAGGTTGAAGGAATCGTTATCCACTTTCTGCACCTACAAATCTTTGACAAAATTTCTCAGGGAACTGTTATGTAGTTAAAAATTAAGCGCATACCAGGCTCTCCTTCACTGGCAGAAAATGAGCTGCTTGTAAGAGGTGCTGCTGCCAAAGCATCCATTAAAGTCCCTGGTGCTTCCTGCTGCCACTGCTTCCTATTTTCTGAAACACCTTCAGTCACAATAACTTGGCCATCTAAAGAGGAAACCATTATTAAAAATAAAAATGCTTTTTATTTGAGTTTTTATGAAGTCACAGAATATTAGAACCTTAGATTAATTCCACCCCTTATTTTTTAAATAAAAAACCTATAGAAAACATAGCTGATGGGTAGAAGAGTCTTTTTAGTGGGGGGGTTGTAAACTGTCTTTTTGTTGTGATAAAAATTCTAATCTAGCCAGGCATGGTGGCGCATGCCTATAATCCCAGCAGCTCAGGAGGCTGAGGCTAGAGGATCGTGAGTTCAAAGCCAGCCTCAACAATGCTGAGGCACTAAGCAACTCAGTGAGACCCTGTCTCTAAATAAAATGCAAAATAGGGCTGGGGATGTGGCTCAGTAGTCGAAGTGCCCTTGAGTTCAATCCCTGGTACAAAAAAAAAAAAATCTATTTGCTTATTTTAAGTTGTGCTTTCAATGTCTTGTTAGATCAGTTGTCTTATCAAATAGTCAATAGTCAATTCACTTACATTTACTTCAGTGGATATACACTCATCCCTTGGTACCCAAGAGGGATTGGTTTTAGGCCCCAAGGTTATAAAAATCTGCAGAGTTCAAGTGCCTTATATATAACGGTACAGCATTTGCACAGGACCTATGCAAATCCTCCCATATACTTTAAATCATCTCTAGATGACTTAAAATACCTAATATGATATAAATAGTTGTTATACTTTATTGTTTAGGGAATAATGACAAGAAAAATAGTTTGTACATGTTCAGTATAGATGCAGGATTTTTTCTTAATAGTTTTCTTCTGAGGTTAGTTGAATCTGGGGACATAGAAAGCTAACTATACTTACATATTTCAATTTACAGCACAGTTTAAATTTTAGGTCTCTCTCAGTGCCATGTAATCAAGAGGAACACAGGAAACAAGTAATAAAAATCTTTACTGCCTACAAAGATAACTCTGTGAACCTTTTCTAAGTAAAGGCTACATCAGAACCTCAAAAATAAATGCAGGAATTGGGCTGAAAATATTATTAAGTCCAAAACATTCCACACATGTAAGTAGCACATTGGTTTACAAAGCAATTTTATGTGCATCTCTGCACTGTGAACTCTCTAAATCTCCTAGGAAAAACTCTTTTACTTAACAATTTTATTGGTGAAAAAAATGACCTGCCATAGAATTACAAGGAAATGATTAGAGAATAAATCAAGTCTACTGCCTTCCTCGGACCTTCTCCCTCTCTTCAAGGATCTTTCCTCCTTTACTGTGCCTGGTTAGGGTGTCCAATTTTCTAGGATAATTATCAGGCAAGTTTCTCTGGGGATGGAGGAGAAACCAAAACAATGTCCTTGCAAAGTGTTCTGTACAAAATCTAAAGGGCTTGTAGTGAGAACTAGAAACTATTCCAACAGGATGAGCATGAGCCACACAGTGGTTTGGGACCCCTAGTCTTCCCTTGCGATCAGTCAACTGGTGCTGATCCAGAGACTCACCATCAGGCACAGTGGAGCACGTGGAGGTGACATCAGCAGCTGCCATCATTTGTATCAGAGTCTGAGGCACTCTGGTATCCCAATGCCTCCTGTTTTCTGTGGCAGCAACATTCAGAGTGAAAAACTCTGAGTATAAAAAAATAATTCATTAGTTCAAAAGCAACCAAAGTGTGACTAATTGCACCTAACAGTTCTTAGGTAGCTGAGCCAGTATCTATCAGCTGGTATGTGCAAAACCAGAACTGGAACTTATAAGACTGAAATTACAAACATATTTAAATATTCTTTTGCTTTTATTGTTTTTGCTATTATTATTGGTGTGTGATAATTGGGAGTGAACCCAAGGGTACTCTACCACTGCGCAACATGCCCCACCCTTTTGATTTCTTATTTTGAGACAGGGTCTAAGTTGCCAGATTGATCTTGAACTTGTGACCCACCTGCCTCAGCATCTCAAGTAGATACCTCTCTGGGCTCTTTTATTATTACTGTTTGACTGGCCAATTTAATTAAGTGCTAATAAAATATTAGTGGCACAAATGGACAAATTCATTGAGTCATGTATGAAAACTCTTTAATCAGTTTCAACAGAACACAATCTGTTCCATTTTAATTTAAAAAATAACTCATATTTTCTTATTACCATGTTTTCACTATAAGAAAACTAAAAATCATATAAAAAATAAATAAAAATCCACCCATAATCTCACCATCCAGAGGCTATTAAAATTTTATAACATTTTTGTTTTGCTTTAAAACAAACATTGGGCTGGGTGTGGTGGCGTACATCTGTAATCATAGCAACTCAGGAGGCTGAGGTACGAGGACTGCAAGTTCAAGGCCAGCCTTAGCAACTTAGTGAGGTTCAACATAAAAATGAAAAGGACTGGCGTGTAGCTCAGCGGTAGAGCAGCCCTGGGTTCAATTCCCAGTACCAGGGGCAAAAATGGTCTCCACGTGATATTTGCTCTCATACTTGCTTTTTTCTAGTCAGCTACATATCTTTTTTGGGTTATTAAATATTCTTCTATACAACCATTTTAAAGCAAACATAGTAGTCTGTCTCATAAATAGGTTATAATTTAATTCTTTTTTGCTGGACTTTTAGGACATTAGCAAGTTTTCACTGTTTAAATAATGTTATAATGACTTTATTTATGATGGTGGACATTTATGATTATGTACTCTAAATAAATGATTGAAATAATAATTCTAAGGTCTAGCGTTGTCTTCTTACCAAAGCTTTTTGTTATTAAAGTCAACTCTATTACTAATTTATTCTGTGATTTTTCCTATGAATTTTGAATAGCTACTTCTTCCTTATCATAAAAAATGACCTATTTTCTTTTACTTCATTTTCTAAATGTAACATTTCCACACATACACTGATTTTTTAAAAATTTATTTCATTATACTACATCGGGTCTGGTTTCACAGTTTTTCCTAAATTGTTAACAAGTTGGTCTAGAAGCATTTATTTGAATAATCCTTTGTCTTTCCATTGACTTGGGTTGCTGGCATGCACTATATTATGTATGAGACATACTGAGATTTGTTTCTAAACTCTCACTTCTCCCTGATGCCACGATTACACTGTTTGAATGAGTATAACATATATTTTGATACTTGAAAAGGTAAGTTTTCCTTCACTGCTCTTATTTCTCATAATATTTTGGCTAATTACAAATCTCTGCAATCCTCTGCCAAGATCTTCTCACATCAGGAAAAAAAAATTCTATTGTGATTTTTATTGAAATTGCCATAAATATATTGAGGAAGCCTATTTACAATCTAAAGCACTGCTAATTCTCTCCATTTGTCAAGTGGTCTTTACTTGACTAAAATCTTATAGTTTTCTTTGAACGCCCTGCACAACTGTTACAAAGTTTACTCCTGAGTGAACACACACATACACACACACACACAATTTGCTGTTGTTACTGTGAGATCTGAAGACCAACTGGGGAAAATATTCACAATCCACATTATAGGTAAAAGTTTGATTTAAATGAATCTTATAAAGAAAAAAACAAACGTGCTATTTTCAATAGAAAATAAGGCTGTGAGTTTTTCCAGCAGGTAAAGAAAAAGATTGGTAAGTTGGAGCTCCTAGGAGAGGCTGAGGCTGTAGAGAGAACTAGTGAAACTCCTCAAAGTGTGGAGCAGGAGAAGAGGGTGGAGTCTGGGGGTATGCAAAACAAGAACTGGGGGAAGCTGGGCAGACAGAGTTCAAGATGGATTGCTGATGAACAGGCTCCGTCTATCCATAGAGTTCCAGGAACACGTACCTGCTTCTGGCCTACAGAGTTCTTCAAAGGCTTTGTCTGTGTAATCTTCGTGTTCCTTTATACTTTTATGTTCCTTAAACTTCATGCCGTCCTCAAAGGTCAAAGTTTCATTTAGTATGTCCGTTGCCTAAAGCATTTCCACAGTATTTCATGAGAAATAAGCCATGTTGGGGGGAGGATGTCAAAATTGTTGTGTTCCCAATAATATTCAAAAGCAAGACAAACAAATCTATAGAGTTTTAAAAGCTGAACTATAGCCAGGCTCTGTGTTGCAGGCCTGTAATCAGAGTTACTTTGGAAGCTGAGGCAGGAGGATCACAAGTTCAAGGCCAGCCAAGGCAACTTAGTGAGATCAAGTCTCAAAATAAAGAAATAAAAAGGGCTGGGGATATAGCTTGTAGCTCAGTGACAGAGCACTCCTGGGTTCAATCCCTAGTATCACACACACACACACACACACACAATGGAATTACAGTGATTGAGATAGAAACAGCCATGTTTTCATTTCTCCTTCTCAATAGTAATGAGCACTTAATTTTATCTGGACTTTGAAAAGTCTTCAATATTATTCTACTTCGGTTCCATCCCACTGCATCCTCAGGTCCTGCTGTCAGTCTATAACACAACAGTCTTTTATTTGAGACAGGGGGTCTCACTATGTTATTGAGGCTGGTCTCAAACTTCTGGACCTCAGAAGTGATCCTTTTGCCTCAGCCTCTGGAGTAGCCGACACTATATGGGTGCACAAATCAGACCCAACTTCACAGCATTCTCAACTATGTCCCTAAAACTGCTCCTCATACACCACAATCAATACTAAAATGATCAATTTTGTTTAAAGCACATTGATGCATAGAATAAGAGAGGATGAACACCCTGCAGCTAGTGCTTTTGGAGTCCATTCTTTCATTCTAGCAAGCCGATCTCAGCACCTCCAGTCACAGAAGCCCTGTGGAGGTGCCACTCCCCAGACCTGCTCTGCTCTGATCCTACAGCTCTGGGGCACCTGGAGACCTAATGGATGAACAGAAGTAGGAACTAATTTTCACCATTGTAGTGAAGTCTTTATGTAGCAAAATGCTTGTAAAAATATGAAATGATGACATACAAAAGCTTTTGGTGTCTTGTGGAGGGTTTGGTTTGGGGGTTGAACCCAGGGCTCAGCATGCTAAACACACATTCTACCACCCAGCTACCCCTCTAGCTCCATAAAGTTTTAAGATAATAAAGAACATGAAGAACTGGGGAGGTAATTCAGTGGTAGAGTGCTTGTCTGCATGCCATGTGCAGGGCCCTGGATTCTATCCACAGACAGACACACACACACACACACATACACACACACACACACACACAGAATGAAAAAAAAATAAGTATCAGATATGATCATTCATACTTAAATTTTGGTAATCTAAATGGTGAATTTAGAGAAGGTAAAATGGAACAACAATCAGCTAATTTTGACATTTTTTAGCAGGTATGATAAAAAATGAGGTAAACAAGATGGGCAGGAGCTGCAGCTCAGGGGTAGAGTGCCTGCCTTGCACGGGAGGTACTGGGTGTGATCCTCGGCACCACATAAAAATAAATAAATAGATGTGCCCATCTACAACTAGAAAAAAAAATTTTTTTAAAAGAAGATGTTGAAATCAAGTAATAAAATGAGATTTGGATTTACTAAACATGTGCATTTACTTCTGTGGCAAGGAGAGACCAAATGCATAATTGAGATTTACCCAGAGATATGTACAAAGCTATCAGTAACTAATTAAGACCGAAAATGAATGTGCCCAGGGTATCTGCCCAAGTGTTTTTTAGGTCAGTATATTTGTTGTCAACTATGTATCCTGTCTTCTATTTTAATTTGGCAATAATAAAAACATAATAATGTGAGGAAAATAGGTTCTTCATAAAATAAAAATAATTTTAAACATAATAATTTACCTAAGTAAATAACCTCTGTTTAAGAAAAAGAAGAAGAAGGATAAAAAGTATTTGGAAGACTCATTTGAATACTAGAGATCCTTTTAGGAATATTTAAGCAATTTTTCCCTACAGCCTGTGAAACAATTTCAAGAAACTTAAGACACACTCATTTTCTCATGTGTGTACTTAATAACATACCTTTTCCTCTTGGAGGGGGTTTTCATCAGAAATACATTTGTCTAAATTAATTTCAAACTTCACTCCTCTCTACAAGAAAACAAGGGGAAAATCCTTTAATTTAGCAATTCAATAAAAGCCTTAATATAACAACTCCCTAGATCAATTTATTTTAATATTACATATACTTAAAACCATTAGTCTAACATCACAAAGTAGGGCTATTCCATAAAATAACAAGAGGTGTGGGGAATCACATGGGTGACCCAGACTGCAGGTGTGGACCCCCAGCCAGCTTCTCACACAGAGCCAAAAGACAAAAATGTGGATTACCTTAGCTTTATATTTCTGTTCTGGAATTTTGCTTTCCTTTATGTTCTGAAGCCTCATTTGTTTCAAATCTCTTTCAGTGTCCTGAAAGTTTAGAGGAAAAAAATGATTCTATCACTTAATATTGAACAATAATATTTTCACAACCTCAGAATTCACAGCCTTGTATGTTTATATGATTTTATTTCTAGATTGAATCTGATGATAGATTTTAGAATAAAAACATGCCTTTGTAAAGGAAAGTTAATATCAAAAACCAAAGCAGAATGTCAACAAATACTCATACATTAAACACTGACATTTCAATGGGTAAAAATTCTATAATGTGACAAAGCTCATCCTCCCAGTGCAGTCTAATCCAATCAGATCCAATTCAACAACATAAATGTGATGGTTGGGGTATAGCTCAGTGGAAGAGTGCTCGCCTAGTGTGCACAAGACCCTGGGCTCAATCTCCAGCACCAAAGAAAAAAATAATAACTTTTTTTTTTTCAGTGCTATGGATCAGATCCAGGGATTTGCACATGCTAAGTAAACACTCTATGGTCCAGACGCCTAGGCAATGATTAGCAGAGTGAAGATAGCTGCGAGGGCCCTTGCTGACATGGAGCAGAATAGTTAATAAATGAGTTGACAAATTAATGACATAATTTCAGAAGTACTATAAAAGAAAGTGAAATAGGGTAATAGAATAGAAATGAGTAGGGGAGGAGAGTAACACGGGAGAAGCTATTTGGCATTTGATTCAAGGTAGAGAGTGATATTGGGCGTCAGTATAGGAAGTAGACGTCTGGCTGGGGAAAGCATTGGGGATAGTGGGGTGAAAGCCCCAAAGCAGGTTTGTAACCTCTCAGATCTCTTCTAACTCCAGAATGGAGCTCTTGGTCGCCTCACACACCCAAGAAGTGGTATTGCATTCTGCTTGTAGTCAGGACACAGTACCAGGCACCAGAGTCACTCCCCAACTGAAACAACCCCAAAGCCACATCAAGTACAGAAGCAATAATGGTTTTAACACATTAGACAGCCAGAATGAAAAATGAGGATACTTGAGAAACGGGATGTGATGAGCCCTCCAACTGTCCCTATCCAGGGGCACTTTACCACTGAGCTACATTCCCAGCCCTTTTTAGCTTTTATTTTGAAACAGAGTCTCACTAAATTGCTAAGATGAGCATGGAACTTTTGATCCTCCTGCCTCAGCCTCCTGAGCCTTGAGGATTACAGACCTGAGGCGCCACACCCAGCAACCCCCAGCCCCTCCTGCCCCCCCCCCCCACTAAGTCTCCAGAGAGTTTGCAGGCCTTGGTGGAGGGATGCTGAGACTGGCAGACTCCCTGCCGTGGGGAGACAAAGCTGTGAACTTGGGGATCTTAAGGCTCTAGAGTCTGAATGGTAGAGTCCCAGAGAGGAGGGAGCTGTGCCAAAAGAGAACTGGAACTCTCCTACAGCCTGTGGGAACGTATCAGTTCAACCACTTTGCAAACCTATTTGGCAGTTTCTTAAAAAGTTAAACATACCAGTCAGATGTGGTGGTGCCTATCTGTAGTTCTAGCTGCTCAGGAGGTTGAGACAGGAAGACTGAGAGTTTGAGATCTGCCTAGGCAACACAACAAGAGTCTATTTCTTATTTTAAAAAAGAGGGGTGTCTGGGGATATAATTTGGTGGTAGGACACTTGCTTTGCATGTGTCAAGCCCTGGGTTCCATCCCCAACACTGAGGGGAAAAGAAAGGTTAAATATAAATCTATTATATAATCCAGTCACTCCTGTCCACTCTATTTATCCAAAAGAAAGAAAAGAAACATATGTTCACACAAAAACTTATATGTTTATTTGTAATAAGCTGGAAACAACCGAAATATCCATCTATAGCTGAATGGATAAACAGATTTTGATACAGTCACTTGATGGAATATACTCAGCAATAAAGAGGAATGATACTATTGATAGGGGACAGACAAATGTGAATGGTGGGAACAGGAGGTTAAGGGAATAATTCTACAAAATGAGCCCACTGTGCTGACCCCCACATGTTTTCTTTTCTAGGAAGCGATTTACCTGCAGCCCTGCCTAGCTTCAGTGGACAGGATATGTCACATTCCTCAGCAAACTAACTGTTATCTTCAAGAGAAATGCAGGCCCAAAATAATGTCGATAAAAGGAATCCAAGTTACCCTGAAGGGAGAGACTTTTGTGACCCTTTTTGCAGACCAGATCCCCAAAATTTGGGAGATAAGGAAAATTCCTCCTAACCATAAAATCTGTAAGAATTCTTACAGATTGGTTAACAATCCAAATGATAATGCGTAAGCATGGGCCAAAATGACATAGAGTTGTCATAGCAGTGGGGACTTGAAAGTCTGATATCATCCTGCTGTCAGTCAAAAGTGGACCTGGATAGGACTCTCTGGAAACTTCTCTGATTCTCCTATGAAACTGGAGTGCAGGAAAGGCACACTGTCCCTCTCCTCTCTGAGAAGACCCACTCCCTCCCAAGAGTGTCCCCTTTCCCCTTTTCCATCCCTTCTAATAAACTGATTGCCCATTACTATGAGTGACACATCTAAAATTTTTCTGACTTGATCATAAGAATTGAGGTTTTAAGGGGGGTCTTTGTGCTGCCTCAGTTTCCTGGAAGACCTCAGCCTGTAACACTATTAATATCAAAAAGTGGATAAATCTCAACATTTATTATGTCAAATGAAGCCAGACATAAGAAAGCAAGTATAGTATGGTCCTATTTATAGGCTGTAAACTAACCCAGAAAGTACAAAGTAAACTAGTGACAAACAGCAGATCTGATGTGAGAGGAACAGCAGCATGAAACTGGAGAAAGAAACTGACAAAGAGAGCTCTGAGTTTTTAAAAGGCCCCCACAAGATTCTGTTGCACAGTGAGAGATAAGAACCACCAGTCTAGAGCAATCTTGCAGAGAAGCTCATTGGTATGGTTTAGATATGAGGTGTCCCCAAAATCTCATGTGTGAGACAATGCAAGAATGTTCAGAGGAGCCAGGTATGATGGCACACGCCTGTAATCCCAGCAACTTGGGAGGCTAAAGAAGAGGATCACAAGTTCAAGGCCACCCTTAGCAACTTAGGGAGGCCCTAAGCAACTTAAAAAAAAAATTAGAAAGGGCTGGGGATGTGGTCCAGTGATTAAATGCCCCTGGGTTCAATCCCTGGTACCAAAAAGAGAATGTTCAGAGGTGAAATGACTAGATTATGAGAGCTGTAACCTAAAGGTGGATTAAACCACTGATAATGGATTAAGTGTGTGGTAGGCAGGTAGGGTGTGGCTGGAGGAAGTAGGTCAATGGGTTCATATTTTGTCTCTGATGACTAGAGCTCTCTCTCTTCTCTTAGCCACACCTTTCCTCCAAGATGTTCTGCCTCACCTCGGGCCCAGAGCCATGGAGTTGGCCAAGCATGAACTGAACCTCTCTGAAAGTGTGAGCCAAAATAAACTTTTCCTCCTCTAAAACTGTTCTTCTCAAGTCCTTTGGTCATGGCAACAAAAATGCTGACTAAAACACATGTATATCTAGCAACAGGGGTCTTACCTGCACAGATGCTTCCTCCTCAGGTGCTTCTTGGTGGATGGGCAGGCCACTCTTCTTCACCAAATAGGTGTGATGACTGATTTTTGAGTTCTCCTTAACACAAGAATGATTCTGCATGAATGCTGAAGGCAACTTCCTAACCCTCCACCAGGGTCTGAGTGGGTCTAGTGAGAGACACATCCCTGCTGACAGAGACTGGATAAAGCCTGTGTGTGTGTGTGTGTGTGTGTGTGTTGCTGGGGATTGAACCAGAGCCTCATGCATGCTAGAAAAGCACTCCACTGAGCTATACCTCAGGCCTAGAGCCTTATAATTCCTTTTCCCTGTGGCTGCTTCCAGCATTCCTTAAATTCTTCTTTCATAATCTTTCTAGAAATGTCTGCTACCCAGTGCTTGCCTAGGATGCCTGGAGTTCTGGTTTCAATCCCCAGGACCACCAAATCAAAATGTCTGCTACCCATCTTCCTTGGACTCAGGTTTCCTATCACAGACCTGCCTTAAATATAAGGTTGATACCAGCACAAGGCTCCCCATCACGAACAAAACCTCTGCTCTGGAGAGAACCACCCCAAGCTGCCCTTCCAGCACATCCTGTTGGAATCTTTGCATGGTTCTTCCAAAGCTTTCTCCTTAGCTCGGCCTCTAAATTCAACTCTTCTTCTCAGACCTTCCTCCTCTTCTCAGCCTTCTTATCTTTGCTCCTCAACTATAGTCAGTCTTGCTTGTTCTATCATTGTTTCATATATTGTCTTATCTTTCCGACTGTTTATGAGTAGAACTACATCTGCTAGAAAGAACAAAGGTGTCAGAGTCAGATTTAAATATGTATGTACATATGTGCTGGGGATCAAACCCAGGGTCTCATACATGCTAAAAAGGAGCTCTACCACTGAGCTACATTCCTAGTTCCAGAGTCAGATATTTTAATATTCAATCCGCCTTGTAATATCTAAGTCACTCAACTTCTCTGTTTGGGGTCTAAATGAGATAGGATATGTGAAAACTCTAGCCTGTATTCTTACACATACAATTGAATTGGGCCATATGCTCATTTAATTTATTGTAATTCCGCCATATGCACTAGAGGTGGAGGAACATGGTGGGAAGAGGGAGAGAGAGAAAGAGATATCAATTTCTGTTGTGTGGGTTCTACTCAACAAGCACACAGCCAAGTGGTGGGAGATGGGAGACGACAGATCTCTCATAGGAGGGGCATTCCAGAGCACACCTAGGATTAAAATACCCAAGTGATTTTCATACTGCATACTCAAGACACAGGCTAGCTGCTTCATCTACTGAAGAAGCAGCAATCTGCTACAATTCTGGAAAAGATCAATTTCCAATGTGGCACCTTTACAGAATTTTTAAGAATCATTCTCAGCTATATTTAAATTTTGCCTTTTTCAGTCTTGCATCACTTAACGATAGGAATATGTTCTGAGAAATGCATCATTAAGTGACTTTGTCATTGTGTGAACATCAGAGACTGTAGTTACACAAACCAAGCTACAACATCACTAGGGAGTATAATCTTATTGGACCTCCATTATATATATGGTTCATTACTGACCAAAACCTATGCTGCTCATGACTGTATAGACTTTAGAACATTCGGCCTGCCCATATTGAACTGAATCAACTCTAGATGTTTGGTTTTATTCCTCCTTACGAACATGAATTTATTCTCATTTTGAATTTTCTGCATCTGATCCAGATCTGGCCTGAAGTAGTTGCTCAGTAAATACTGATTAAAAAGGAAGAAAATCAATAAGTATGTGTGTTTGTGTTTGTCTGTGTGTATGTGTATGCGGTACTGGGCATTGAACCCAGGGACTTGTGCATGCTAGGCAAGTGTTCTACCACTCAGTTACACTCACAACCCTTTTTGTTTTGAGACAGGGTCTCACTAGTAAATCATAATAAAATGAAGCTTTTATTTGGTCTGATAGCTTTCCTATTTAAAAAAGAATTTTGTACGCTTTTATCTATAATAAAACTTTATCCTATCTACAAAGAGATCATTACTTTTTGTTTTCCTTTTTGGTGCTGGGGATTAAACCCAGGGCCTTGGGCATGCCAAACAAGAGATCTACCACTGAGTTACACGCCTGGTTCAAGATCATTGCTTTTAACACCTACTCTTTTAGACAGTTCTTAATTGACAGAAGTGTTTCCTCTAGAAGAGTGAATTTACCTCCCGCTCTCTTCCCATCTTCCTTCTAATTTCCTTCATGTCACTGTGGTATTGTTGGCGTATTTCCTCTAACTGTTTCCAATATTCCTGCAAAACAAAAACGAAGTGTTTGTGAACAACATTCATGAAACATATATAATGAAATAACATATAATGAAAATAACCTCTGTCTAGCCTACAATTTTTTTAACATATAATATAAAATAAACATTAGAAAACCTGTGGCTGCTTAAGATGATAATCTGCCTTCTTTTGACTGTGGCATTTCACATCCTGTGAGTGATACACTGGTGTGGGATACAGAGCTCATGTTCATATATAACCACAAATGAATTAATGATGTAAAGTTATTTTACACATTTTAATTTTATATATAATCTAATTATGGTTAATATGTGTTAAGTCCTACCTCCTTTCCAGTGTCTCTGAATGTGACCCTATTTGGAAACAGGGTCATTGCATATGTAATTAGTTTAAATGAGGTCATGCTGGTCCTTAGTTCAATGTGGCTGGTGTTCTTTCAAAAAGACAGCCATGTATAGACACAGATCTAAGGAGAAGGCCGCGCAACAAAGGCGGAGTCTAGAGTTCTGTTGCTGTAAGCTGAGGAGTGCCAAAGATTGCCAGACAAGCTAGAAGCTAGGAAGAAGCAAAGAAGGATTCCCTTATAGACTTCACAGGGGGCATGGGACTGACAACACTTTGGTGTTAGACAATAAATGTTAGACAATAAATTTCTGTTATTTTAAACCACCCAGCCTATTGTACTTCCTTACACCAGATTTGGCAAACTAATAAAAATTCTAAATAGGTTATCAAAAGTTACTTTATCAATCCAAGGAAAGAGGCCTTATGAATTTAGCTATGTTGTATTCTCTGAGCAAATGAAATAGCTACTTCTGCTCCTAAAACACCCAGCATAGTGCTTGACCCATTGTGTGTGTACAGCGCTCTCCCAGGCACCCTGTGGGAAACAGAAGCAGCACCCTAGGACAGAGCAAGACAGAGACACGGAAACAATGTTAGGAGCTGAGGGTGTAGAAAACAAACAAACAACACACAATCGTAGCCCTGGTATTGGACCATTTTTTAACCTGGTCCTTCATTTCGTTTTTTCTAAACTGCAGCTCCTGGAATCGAGGCTTTTCTTCATGCCTTCTAATCTCTTGTCTCTGGTTGTGATTTGGCTCAGCAGAAGATGGACGAAGACCCTGTTTATTGAATGAAATCATTTATAAAGCATTCTTGCATTTTGGAAACATCTTCTGATTTGATCTTAACTTTATCTGACAGATAAAAATGTCACCGAGAAAACTTGGTAGTGGGGAATTATTTTGTGGCAAGTAGTAGAAATTTCTTTTAATTTAAGTATGAAACACTGAACACTTTTTAAAAATGCAAACATTTATGGTCTTTATTCTAAGCAACTGATATTTTATGCTATCATTCGAGACACCAATATTTCTCTTCTGAAGTGGTAAATTATAATTGTGAAATTAAAGCTCTGTGACTAGGTAGAGTCGATTAGAACTCTACTTTTGAGCAGTTCAAAATATGAGTGACACAAATGGGATGTGTTTGCAGCCTGGGCTCAGCCCCAGAATTCTGAGACAGTACTAAAGATTAAAGGTTAACTTTTCAACTCAAATAATTATTTTTAAAAAAATTTTTTTTTAGTTGTAGATGGACACAATGCCTTTATTTATTTTTGTGGTGCTGAGGATTGAACTCAGTGCCTCACATGTGCTAGGCAAGCACTCTGCCACTGAGCCACAACCCAGCCCTGTAATTACTTTATTTAATGTGTAGAAAAGTCTTTAATAAAATACAATCATAGCTAGCTCAAAAAATGAATAAAACAGGATCAAAGAAGTGCAACACTGAAAGGGACCAGGAGAAGGTCCTTCACTCCAAAGTGATCATTCATAGAAAAGGAAGTTGAGGCTCAGAAGGGTTGTTCAAGGTTAACAGCAATTGTTAGATCCAGGGACAAAACCAGGCTTTCCAGACTCTGATTCAAACTTCTTCCCATTATTCTTCTGTAGCAATTAAAAATTAGGGAAAGATGAAAGGTAGTCTTGCCCTTCTAGTGGAATAAACTCTGACTTAAAGATCCATGAATATGTGCAAATAGAGAAACCAGCAAATTTCTAATTGCCTCCCATATTTAGTATTTTACTTACCAATTGCTTTTCCACTTTTAACTTATATTGTTGAGCTTCAATTTTCCTTTGAAGATACTCAGCAGGCCTTAGGAAATAAGGAAGTTCAGCTTGAGTGGAATTTTAACTACCCTTAGGCACCAATGTGACAAGTGGATTTTCAGTTTAGTAATGAAATTCACAATGCACCTTTGGCTTTTTTTTTTTTTTTCCTTTTTGAACCAGGGATTGAATTCAGGGTTGCTTAACCACTGAGTTACACCCCAGCCCTTTTTAAAATTTATTATTTTGAGACAGGGTCTCATTAAATTGTTTAGGGTCTTGCTAAATTGCTGAGGTTAGCTTTGAACTTATGATCCTCCTGCCTCAGCCTCCTGAGCCTCTGGGATTATAGGGGTACACCACCATGCTCAGCCCACCTTTAAGTTTCAAGTTCAAGAAGTGTAGGTCAAAATTATAGAATGTTCACAAAGAATTTCTTATAAGTATAGTTTGCTAAATAAAAACTACTACATTTCAGAACACAGGATGAACTATGCGATAAAATATTTGATGATACCAGTAATTTCTAGGGTTTCCAAAGACAGAGCTATAATGTCAGAAATAACTCTTTAAGGAACATCACAATGAGAGGTCCCCAATTTACAGAGTCAAGTTAATAGTCAGGTGTTTTAAAAGTACCATCAATGAATGATAACTAGTTAAAGTTCCTACATCTTAGTTCCTCACCTGTAAAATGGACACAATGCCATTTAACAGGAATTGAAACGGGGTTTAGAGGAGATCAGGCCTGTGAAGGTGTCTGGCCCCTGTCTATCACACAGAAAGCGCTGAACTGAAAAAGAGCTAAACTGTAGCACTCATTCCTTGAACCCTTGAAAGAACCAACTGGAATAGTATATTCATTAGAAAAAATATCCAAAAGGCATTCTCTCTACCCCCTCAGCCCTGAATAAACCCTGTTCCTCTAGCTCATGGCCTTGAATGGGAGTTCCATAGGAGCAAAAGCTGGGAGCAATGGGGAGGGTAGAACAAGGAAGAGGTAACTACTCACCAGGGGGTATCCTGGGATACAGCAAGATGGAGCTATGACAGGGCAGGGACATGTAGGAAGAGAAGGAGTTTCTAACATTTCATGTGAGAGTTTGGGAGATAAATAATTCAGAATCACAACAATTGATAGTTTGGCAGTTCCAATATCTAGACAAAGAATGGAAGATCTATTTTTCCAGGTCTGAGAAAAGATGAAGGGAGTTTTCTGACTGTTCCCAGTTCGCAGGGAAAATTCATATCCCTTACTAATTAAGTCCTACATGAATATTACAGTTTGAACTAATGGAACATATAATTTGTTTTGATCAAGTGGGTAATTTGAAACACGTTATGATGATGAATAAAACCATACCAGCACCCATTTTATTTTATTTTTTAAAATATTTATTAGTTGTTGATGGACCTTTATTTATTTATATGTAGTGCTGAGGATGAAACCCAGTGCTAGGCAAGCGCTCTGCCACTGAGCCACAACCCCAGCCCAACCCATTTTATCTTTAAAATTAAAATGTCTACTTTTCCCATTGTGAATTCCTGAAGAAATCATTCTTTTACCACTCTTCCTCATCTAATTTTCACTAATTATTGATGAGATTACTATTACATAGTGATTCATTACATATGATTCATCCAAAATTTCACATGCCTGGCATGTATGAGGTTCTGGGTTCAATCTCCCAAGATATACATGTGCGCTCACACATACATACACACACACACACACTCAACAATAAATAACCAAAGTTAACAAAGTTAGCAAATCGCTAGCCCTGAACAACAACGAGAACAACAACAACAAAAAGTGATAGCAAAAAACATTTAAAAAAAAATAAAGTGAGGATGTATGTAGGTCAGTGGTAGAGTGCTTTCCTAGTATGCAGGAGGCCCTGGGGTTTTGTTTTGCACAATGCAAAAACAAAACCACCTCTCAGACTTAGGTCTTTATGCCTGTGATGGCTATCCATCATTTTGAACACAGGAACACTGATATTAGAGTAAAAAACAAAACAAACAAGAAAAGAATAAAAAGAAAATACTATATATCTGCAGAAATTTGTTAGGGTAAACTTTTAATTAAAGGCAGTTTCAGTATAGTATTCTTTTTTGAATGTATACATATTTTGAACCTCCCTAGAATATAAACGCTGAATGAAATCTATTTCACTTTTCTAATATTCTTAAGTGATCATTTGGTTTTAATAATTAAATTATTAATGATTCTTATGAATAAACTCCTTGGAAAATGAAATAAATACAACTGTTTTATTCACCCCTTGGGAGTAAAACTCACTAGGAAGAAGGAGAAAAAAAACATTAAAAATTCAAGAATGTGCCTGTAAATCCCAGTGACTGGGGAGGCTGAGGCTGGAAGATGGCAAATCTATGGCCAACCTTAGCAAGACTCTGTCTTAAAATAATAAAAAAGGCTAGGGATATGGCTCAGTGATTAAGCTGCCCCTGGGTTAAAAAATATATAAATATACGTATATCGAGAAAATGAAGCTTGCCTACAGTTAAATGGCTCTATAAATAAGAAAATAAGCTACACCATATTTGAGATGAAAAAAAGGGCCAAGAAATTGAATGAAGAGTTTAAAGTGAAGATTTGATAAATTCTTCCTCAATTATTTGTTTTAGGAGAATTTAGAAGGATTTTAGAAAACAGAGCTGATAAATGAGACAGAGGATCTTTTGAGCCCAGGAATTCGATACCAGTCTGGGCAACTCCTCAAGACTCTGTCTCAAAACCAACAGACAAAAAAAAAATGCTGATACACAAAAGTATTTTCAGAGGATAAAGGCTTAGGTTAGACTGCCACATTACCATTGAGCAGGTGAAGGACTGTGACTTTCTTCTTGATTAGAATTCTCCTCAGTTCCAGAGTCTTTCTGAAGAACGTAGTGATCACTTGGTTCACAGGCTCTCTTCCTCAACAAGTCAAGTCGAGCATAATAAAAATCATAATGTCCACAAACTGCATCAAGTTTGGGCCTTTCTATCATTTTTATCTGAGAGATTGAAAAGAAGAGGGAAGATTTGTGTGTGTGTGTGTGTGTGTGCGTGTGTGTGCTGGGGATTGAACCCAGGGCCTAATGCATGAAAGGCACTCTACCAACTGAGCTGTATCCCCACCCCCAGGAAGATTCCTTTTAAAGACATCGTATAAATCTATAATTGACCATTTGATGGCTACCACGACCAAGCATTGAAGGTAGATTTTTGTTTTTATTCTAGACCTGTTTTAGAGGAAAATGATGTTAGAGCCCCCAAATCCTAAAATTGAAAAGACCTTAGAAATCTAAGTACTTGAGTACAGCAGTTTATAATTATAATCTTTTTTGTAATTTTGAATCACATATATTTTCATGTCTAGTATGTGAAAAATATTTAATATGCCCAGCCAAGGTCTGAAAGTTTACTCATAATTATTGTTTTCTATTTAAAAAAAAATTTTTTTTTTAGTTTTCAATGGATTTTTTATTTATTTATATGTGGTGCTGGGGATCAAACCCAGAGCTTCACACATGCCAGGCAAGTGCTCTACCACTATCACAGACCTATTGTTTTCTATTTTTTATAAACTTTCTTATACCTTTCTGTACTTTATGGGAGAATAAAAGCTAAAGTGCAACTCACAGATTTGGGGGTTTGTCTTACTGGTGGTTTCTAATAAATTGAGTAAAAGCAAGGTATCAGGGCTTGAAAAATAGAAGATGCTGAATCACTGAGTCATTCTTGCTGAGAAAACACCAGGAATACAAAGGTTGGAATGGGCATAATAACCCTCTAAGCTATTCCTCCCTACAGCACACTCTTCCCAACCAGAAACACAAGTTTATTTCATCCCAGAGACAAGCAGAGGTCAATACATTAGAAGATAAGAATCAGGCCATATTCAGATAAGAAAGCCAGACAAGACCTGAGCTAAAGAACAAAGTGTCCTGATTTAAGTTTGAATTTGACAACTCTGCCTGTTTAACAGTTGCTAATAAAAGAGGGGGGAAAAAAAGAGATCAAGTCCCTGTAAAGACCTAAGTAGTTGGGAACATAAATAACCAAACAAACAATTAAAACTTAAATGTTCTCCCTGAAAGGAAGGAAAATGTTACATCCTATGTTCTTTGTTAAGCTATCTGGCTCACATGTTAGCTGGAACATGGAATTATATATACCTGACCCTCTTCAACTTACATAAATGGCTCTTTTTTATAGTTCTATTTAAATACTAAGATACATATAAAACTTGGTTTATTGGTCTATACAGAAATTGTATGTTTATTTTTAAAATCTTTGAAAGTGAAAAGTAGTTACGATTACACCTGAATACATACAATCCAGAAAAAGGTAGTACTGAGTTAGTTGTTCAAAATTGTTTAGACACAATTAATAAATATGAAAAGTGTAAATATAGATTTTTGTTTGTTTAATCTGAATAGCTTGCTGTTAATTATGTTCTATTTAAGACTTTGGAAGTTCTTTGATGTCTTACTGTCACCTCATATTTTGTTAAATGTCATTGCGGTTGAATATCATATATAGTGTGCTGTTTAGGGTTAGTTGATTGTGTCTACTTTTCTTTTTTTAATATGTTTTTAGTTGTTGATGGACCTTTATTTTTATTTATTTGTATGTGGTGCTGAGGATCAAACCCAGTGCCTCATGCATGCTAGGCAAGCTCTCTACCACTGAGCCACAACTCCATTCCTCCCCCACACTGTGTCTACTTTTTAAAGTTTTTAATTAAATGTTTTTGTATTATAAAAAATTATAGTAGTTCCTTTTTATTAGTCTGAATGTTTTCAGGTCTTGAAATAAATCTTGATTAAGGGATTAAAAAAAAAAAAAACAGAAACTGGTTTAAAAAAAGGAATAAAAAATCCAAATCAGTAATGGGAACATCTGAGATGGTTTCTGTGCAGATCCATTTATTTTATTGCATCAGCAGAAGTTGTTCAAATAATTGGAAAAGATGTCAACTTGCTTGACAGTTCTCCTGACTTAATCCACCCCCAAATCTTTTAGATGTTTTTTTTCCTACAGGTCTGGGTCAGAGTATTCTGTATCCCAACATACTTTTCTTATTTTTTAATAGTTAATCCATATGTTATCAAATGAAGGGCAACATTTTAACAATAGTTTAAAAAACTGTTTATGTATCAATACGTTTTCTAAAATGTCTATATACTAAGCAAACATGTAGTAAATGTACTTCCACATGGTCCTCTAGGGCTGGTGGTGTAGCTCGGTGGTAGAATATTTGCCTAGCATGTACAAGACCCTGAGTTCAAACATAAAGATAGAAGAAAAAAAAAAAGAAAGAAAAGGAAAAGGGGAAAAAACAAAATGTCCTCTAATTATACCATGAGCCTTCTTTAAAAATACAGTTCTTCAGACTGGGGATGTAGCTCAGTGCTAGTCCTAGCATGCAGGAGGCCCTGGGTTTGATCATCACCAAATAAATAAATAAGGGCAATGACTATTTTATCATTTATGTTTCAGAAGCATTCTATAGCATGACCTAAAAAACAACAAACAACCACCAACAAAAAACACTGTTTAAGTACATTCAAATAACTCAGTATAAAGGATCTCCAGGGGGCTTGGGGCCATGGCAAGCTCCTGTAATTGTAGCAACTTGGGAATCTGAGGCAGGAGAATCACAAGTACAAGGCCAGCCTCAGCAATTTGGCAAGATGGTGTCTCAAAATGAAAAATAAAAAGGAGTGGGGCTGTAGCTCAGTGGTAAAGCATCCCTGGCTTTAATTCACTGATTAAAGTTCAATTATTATATAATAAAACTCCTCTATTACATATATAGCAGGTTAGAACTTGGAGTACAAAATGCAATGTTTTCCGTTGTTGTCTTACTCAATTGTCCTATAAGGAAAACCGTTTTTTGTTTTTTTTAATGAAAACTTGGACTTTAATAATATTGTATTAATATAAATTCATCAGTGTTCACAAATGTAGCACAAAATGCAAGATATACATTATACAGGAAACTTGTGTAGGTGAAGGGCTATATGAGAAGCTTCTGTTCTTTCTGAACAATTTTTCTGAAAACCTGAAAATGATTCAGAAATAGTTTATTGATTTAAAAAAATAATAATATAAAATTAAAATTTCACTTTATGCTCCAGAAATAGTTTACTAATCTAAAAATAATACAATATAATTTCTTTTTTTTTTTTTAGGCTTTCTGGGAAATTTTTTTTTTTAATTTTTTATTGTTGGCTGTTCAAAACATTACATAGTTCTTGATATATCATATTTCACAATTTGATTCAAGTGGGTTATGAGCTCCCATTTTTACCCCATATACAGATTGCAGAATCACATCAGTTACACATCCATTGATTTACATATGGAAAACCTTTAATATAAACAAAGAAGTTAGAAAAATTTCAGTAATAAAAAGAAAAATAAAGCTAATGTATAATTGTAAGAAAACAAAGCATTCATTGTTTTTTAAAAAATATAGGCTATAATTCAGTGGTAGAGTGCTTGCCTAGCGAGTGACAAGCCCTGGGTTCAGGCCCTAGCATTGAGAAAAAGAAAAAAAAAATCAAATACACAAAAATATTAGCTAGGAACCCAGCTACTTGAGAGGTTGAGGCAGGAGGATCACAAGTTGGAGGTCAGTCTGGGAAACTTATGGAGATCCTGTCTCAAAATAAAAATAAAATTTAAAAAGGGATAGGATATAGCTCAACGATAGAATGTTCCTGGTTTCAATCCCCGGGATCACAAAAATAAACACAAAACCAACACCAATTAGGGCTGGGGATATAGCTTAGTGGTAAAGTGTTTGCCTAGCATGAATCAGGCCCTGGGTTCAAGCCCCAACACTGGTGGGGAGATTATATAAATAAATAAATAAATATTTATAAATAAATATATATATTTATTTATTATAGTTTTTGATGGACCTTTATTTTTATTTATATATATAAAGTATATTTAATGCTCAATACAGAATGATTTTATTTTAAGTATAAAACTAATGGATTCCAAAATTAATTTGCTTGTAGTGTGTGAACATGTGCAGGTGGATCTTTCAGAGTATACCTTAGCTAAAGAATCAGAGGGAGGGATTAGTACAACTCACAGACGTGGGCTTCTGGGTTCCAGCTGGTGGTCTCCATTTTTTTCTAGGTAATACAGCCTTCCTTTCAAATGGTACTGATATTCTTGATCGTGGAGGGAACTTTCCCTGGAATTTCACTCGCTGTATTTTAGAATCTTATTTAACCAAAATAAAACAACTTTAGTTTTGAATTTTTTTCTTACACCTTTACTATTGATACTTAAGTACAAACACATTTCATAACACAGTAAGTTTACTCAAGCCAGAGATATTTTATACACAGAGAATCACTGATGAAATATCTCTATGATGGCTGGGATTGTGGCTCAGTGGTAGAGCACTTGCCTACCATGCATGAGGCACTGGGTTCGATCCTCAACACCACATAAATGTAAAATAAAGATATTGTGTCCACCTAAAACTAAAAAAAAGTACTTTTAAAAAATTAAAATAAAAAAAGAAATATCACTATGCATTCTCTGCACTTTTAAAGAAAATAAAACCATTTCCCCCCAGAGTTTCTTTATAAATTTCGAGCAATGAATAACACTACTTTTAAAAAGAGGAATTAATGTAAATATTTATAAAAACAATTTATAATGATAAAAGTAATTAAATGTAGTGGCTTGGGTTATCAGGCAACACTATTCCTATCTTATCATTGTTTGAAATATTCCTTCTAACATATTTGTCTTTGCCTCCATCAAAATTCATTCTTGTTTTCCTTTTCCCTATATCAGAAATGTGGACGATGTATTTTCTCTCACCCTCTACTTATCTATTTTCAAACATTCTCAATCTAGCCTGATAGATGAACTCATTTTCCCTTAATGACTTTTCTCAATGTTAGCTTCTCTAGCACATTGGATGACATTTCCTCATCACAGGTGCCTTGGAGAAATTTTCTACTCCTTCTGATCCTTTCAGTCCAGAAATTTGATTATGGATAAATTCTCCTGCTTTTACTTTCATATCATCAGTTGAATTAGTCATTTTCTCTTCTTTAGTGTACACCCCACATGCATGCACATTTAGTATTTCATCACTTTGGCTAATTTTTGACACCATGACCAAAATTGTTCTCTCTACTTACCAGTACCATAAAATAACATCTGCTTTCTTTGGCGCTCACACTATTTTCAATTTGGTCCAAGATCCTAACTTCAGCTCCAATGTAGAATTATCTTTGTAAGAGAATGCTTCTTCTTTTTTGGTGTAGTGCTAGAGATATAACCCAGGGCCCTGTGCACTTGTGCATGCTAGGCACATACTGTACCATTGTGCTACACCCCCAGGAATTCTAATTACCAGTCCATCCTCTCTATGTCTGGGGGGAAAAATATAAAAAACTTCATTACATCATTTCATGTCCGACTGGGAACCTTCTTCCACTCTATCCCTTCCCATACAAATGTTAAACTTGGATTTGACCTCTCAAAGTTTCTGGAAGGTTTCCTAAATTATAAGAAGAAAGGAGCCGAACCCCCCAGGATATCTTGAGTTACATATACAACTTCTCCAACACACCCACTGGTCACTACGTGATAATGAGGTGATTTCTCTCCTGTTCATACTGTGCATATTTTCTAAATGTCCATGTTCAACATATTTAGTGGACTTCCTCCGCTAACATTGCCAGCTCTGTAACTCAGTAAACTCAGTATATGAGACATGTGGAATAAATGCTTTTTAAAAAATATTAGACAAATAATGTGTTGATATCACACACAAGGCTGTGAAAACCCAGTCATTGGGACTATGAACCACAAAGGGATCATAAATGCTTTTTCCTTTTCATTGCTGGGATTAGAACCCAAGGAATGAATAGTAGGCAAGCACTCTGCCACTGAGCTACACCTCCAGCCCTATTTTGTATTTTATTTAGAGACAGGATTTCACTGAGATGCTTGGCAGCCTTGCCTTTGCTGAGGCTGACTTTTGTATTCGAGATCCTCCTGCCTCAGCCTCCCAAGCCACTGGGATTACCATAAACTGCGCTGGCCATAAACGCTCTTTGATTGCATGGTAAATCATTCTTACCCTGGACCATCTTTCCAGCAGGTGGGGAGGCAGATGATCTTGCTCTGCATCTAAGCATATGATTGAATTCTTCCTGAATGACCTAAAATCCAATACAAGTGTCAAGGAAACCGCCAACTCAAATCTCTGCCCAACACAAACAGAATCACCTCAAAACTCACCTCAGGGGTCAAGTATTTGGCAATCAGATTCTCTAAAAAGGGCCTTTTCAAGATGGAATTAATAGATGGTCGATCCCGAGGAGAAACTTTAAAGAGCTGAGGGATCAAGGACCGAAGGTCACGAGAAAACCTAGGTGATATGGGGGCAAAATGCGCTTGACAAATCTTCAGAACCAGCTGGTGCAGGTTGCTGCCCTCGAACTGAAAGGACAAGGGTAACAATGCTGTCAGAGAAGAGTCATCTTGTGTTAAAGTAATAAATATCCCAAGAAACAAAAATAATGGTTTTTATTTATTTTTCATGGTGCTGGGGTTAGAACCCAGCACCTCAAGCATGCTAGGCAAGCCCTCAGGACCCCCAGCCCTTTTTATTCTTTTTTTTTTGGTGGGGGGGGATTGGGGATTGAACTCAGGGGCATTTCACCACTGAGCAACATCCCCAGCGCTATTTTGTATTTTATTTAGAGACAAGGTCTCACTGAGTTGCTTAGCACTTTGCTAAATTGCAGAGGCTGGCTTTGAACTTTTGATCCTCCTGCCTCAACCTCCCAAGCTGCTGAGATTACAGGCATGCACCACTGTGCCCAGCTAGTTTTAATTTCTGAGGTTTAGTTTGTTTGGGTTTGGTATTGAGAATTGAACTCAGGTCCTATGCATGCTGAGCATGCACTCTACCACTGAGCTATGTACCAGCCCCTATTTTAACTTTTTAACTAAAAAAGTTTTCTTTAAATTTTTTCTTATTCTAAAAATAATATTTGCTCATAAAAAATGGAAAGGGGGCCGGGGTTGTGGCTCATTGGCAGAGCGCTTGCCTAGCACATGTGAGGCACTGGGTTTGATCCTCAGCATCACATAAAAAAGTAAACTAATAAAATAGAGTATAAAAAAGTTAAAAAAACAAAAATGATAGGAGCTAAGCATAGTAGCACACACACATAATGCCAGCGGCTCGGGAGGCTGAGGCAGGAGGATCACGAATTCAAAACCAGCTGCTGAAATTTGGCAAGGCCCCTAAGCAAGTTAGTGTGACTCTGTCTCAAAATAATATATATATTATAAGAGCTGGGGATGTGGCTTGATGGTTAAGCACCCTGGATTCAATCCCTTTTACCAAAAAACAAAACAAAAAAGTGAAAAGGCATAGGAAATCATAATTAGTCAAGCAAATAGGTATAATTTCTCCACCTAGAGGTGTATTTCCTTCTAGTCGTTCCAAAAATAATGTTTATTTTACAGAGTTGTGGTCATACGGTTACGAAATTTTACTTCTTGCTTTTTAAAAATTAATATAATACCAACATTTCCTTGACTCCTCAAAAACTCATCACAAATCAGAAAATCTTCTACCATATGAACACCTCAGTTATTTATACATCACCATAGAGTTCAAGATTGTGGTGTGCTAATGAAGGTACAGATTTTGGTTAGACAATCAGTGTGTGACCTTTAACAAATACAATAACGACAATGGCTGCCTAGAAGGAGTTGACAGTAGGCCATTCTTAGAAAGGCCTGCCTTCAATGCTGGCCCTCAACTGATGTCTGGGAACTACTCGATTTGAGAATTCCCACTATTCCTGGAAACTTAAGAGTGGTTTTCTTTGCCTAAGCTATTTGTGTAAATGATATAGTTTATGTTGAACATCTGGTTTGTTTCTGGAGTCTAGAAATTTGGTGTATGTCAAGGAGAGATGGCATCTATGTGACCAGTCTCCAGTGAAATCCAGGGTACTGGGTACCTAATGTGCCAATACGATTCAGTAAATTAAATTAGCTATCAAAGGAGAGTTTAAACCAGTCATCATGATAATGACTGAGAAACCTGGCACAGAAAGGTAAATTTACAGCTATAGAGTTTACAATCATGCAGCTTCACGAGCTTGTAGGTAAGATTATGAAAAGACTTGTATGGATGCATTTCCCAGGTCCACATTTAAAGTGCCTTACAGTGTAAACTAGAAGTTCCACTCATATAACTAGATTAATTGTACTGACTGTAATGGTCAATTATATATGGATTCTATGGTAAACAGGCTGTCTGGAAGTATCTTTTAAGAAAAAGACAGTGTTGGAATAATGGGTTCTCCCACATCCATATGGATGGCAGCTATGGACCAGATTTAAGTAACAGCAACTAAGGGCCAGTTCTCTATGAGGGATCATGCCCTGAGTCTTAGCACTGCTCTCCTCTTCATCTATCTGTGTCTCTCAGCTTTGTCACATTATTAATGTTTGTGCTCCTCTGACCTTAAGGGTCTGCAGGAAGAGAGAGAGAGAGCAGCGCTGACCCCTTTTATTGAGGAGAAGCTATTCAAATGAGTCAAGGGGTCAGGTTTCAGGGGGCTGAGTCTATCTTCATGATGTCCACTGGCAGCAGGTGACTGACATTTGGGTAGGTCACACCCAAGGGCTCAGTAAGAGAAGGGGACACACACAAGGCACTTCCATGGAACATTCTATCCTAAACAGGGCATGGGGTAATATTACAAAGGAACAGGTGAGCATAGCTTCAACTATGGGGCTGTAGGAAGCCACGCCTAGGCACGAAGACACAGTCACTGGAACCCTCGAAGAGGCATGGGTGCCTGAAGCCACATCGCCCAGCAGGGGAGTTAACTCAGTCGCGCACAAGGTTGGTCTCCCACACGAATGAGCTTCCCTTGTAGATAATAATTCACACTCCCTGTAACTTGTTGCTGGAGGACTTGGTACCTCCTGGGTGACAACTGGAAGAAGACCCTTTGAAGCTCAGGCCTGGTTTCCTACAGACTCTGTCCCATGTGCCTTTTCCTTTGGTATACACACATACATACACACACACACACACACACACACACACAGGTGGGTATATATGTGTGTGTATATGTATGTACATTCACACACAACTTATTTTTAATGAATATATAACTATCCTCCAACTTGGACTATATATAAAAATAGTTTGCTTGCTGGCAATTTGAGACTGGGTCTATGTTGCCCAGGCTAGTCTCAAACTCCTAGGCTCAAATGTTCCTCCTGCCTCAGCCTTCTTAGTAACTAGGACCACAGGCAAATGCCACTATGCCCAGCTATCCATATAATTTTTAAGAATCTAGGGACTGGGGTTGTGGCTCAGCGGTAGAGCGCTCACCTAGCACATGTGGGGCACTGGGTTCGATCCTCAGCACCACATAAAAATAAAATAAAGGTATTGTGTCCAACTACAACTAAAACAAAATATATATTTTTTAAAAAATCTAATGAAACCAAATATTAACCTTTTTCTCTCAGAAGTTAATTTCATTTACATTATTTCAATAGTTCAACACAAATTTGATGATTAACATACTTACTGGATGCTTGAGTGTGCAGAGCTCATATAAGACACAGCCAAGGGACCAAATATCCCTAGGAAAGACAAGAGTTTACATGCCAAGAAAATATTCATCATTTTTACTGAAAGCTCTCACCCTTACAGTGCCTTGCATATATGCAGCTCTGTTTTATCAGTTTTTACAAAAGCTTTGAGATACAATATCAATTCTAAGAAGTAAAATAAAAACTATTGTAATTAGTCAGAATCCCAACAGGCAAAAGGTATACAAACTTAGCTACAATGAGATGGCTCAATGTTCACTTCAACTTCATGTGTCCAAAGAAAACGTGTCGTGGAATTTTTGGCAATTTGGAAGAGAAAGAGAGAGGCAGTACTCAAATATGGATTTGTCTTTACTCAAAAGATGAAATATGGTTGATTTTGAAGGGTATATTCTACTCAAAGCTCTTGATAGAACTAAAGTCACAGTAAGTGATGAACATAGCATCTGGCTAGGACCCAAGCTTTGCTTTTCACCAACTTTGCACTTATTTTATTTTTTGTAATGTTCAGGTTCAAATCCAGGGCCTCAGGAATGTAGGACAGGCGCTGCACGACTGAGCTGCAACCCCAGCCCCTGTTGGTAAATGCTGATAGGTTGATCAGTTTAAGAAGGAACTATGTTATAGAATAAAAAGCAAAATTAAATCTGAAAGTGAAAAGAACATATAATGAAATGTCAAGGGGATTGTCAAAGACCCAAAACTAGGATTCATTAAAGAGAGGTAGAAGCTAGTCGGGGGAGGTGGCAAAAGCTTGAAATCTTAATGACTTCAGGGGCTGAGGCAGGAGGATCGCAAGTTTGAGGCTAGCCCCAGCAACTTAGTGAGACCCTGTCTCAAAATAAAAAATGAAAAGGGATAGGGATGAAGCAGTAGATCACCCCTGGGTTCAGTCCATGTGGTGAGGCCAGGGAGGGTTGGCTGTGGGTGTAGCTCAGTAGCACAGCATGTACTGAGCATGTGTAGAGGCCCAAGGGTTCAATCCCCAGCACCAATCCTCCCAACTACAACAACCAAAAAAAAAAAAAAAAAAAACTCCCATGGCTTAGGGCATGTAATAAATCTTGTGATTTCTTTTTCCTGTTTAAAAATAGAGATAAACAGATAATTAGACAGGAGTCAGATACACAGATAGAGGTAAATATTTCCACTATTACCAATAACTCTGTGTGTGTGTGTGTGTGTGTGTGTAACAGGTGAGACAAAGAGAGACTTATACCAAAGCTTTAAATAAAATAGAGAATGGGCATAGAATTGGCAGGAAACAAATCTGAAATATTTTCTAGAGTTTCAAGGAACTCAGAGACCCTTTCTCACCACACAGATTTTGTGTTTATGAGGTATTCCTTGGGCCCCAAACTTCTCTTCTGTTTCCAAAGCACCCTCTGTGGTCAGTGTGCTAATGTCACCTGCCTGCAGGACTCAGGCCAGTAAGGGAGCTGCCTGGGGGCTGGGCGCGGCCATTGGCATGTTGTGCCATCCTCTGTGTGGTAAGGGCTATGGTGATCCAGGGGCTGGTTCACAGATCTAAAGGGGCCAGTGGCCACCCAGATAATTGAAATCTTCCAATTTTCAGAAAAACCAAATCTGCATGTTTTAAAGTCTCTCAATATTTCAATGTTGACTCAAACTCTTAAGAAGCAGTACAAGGAAACAAAACCACGCTGGGGACAATCCTTACCAGGCAGTGTGAAGCTCTGCTCCCCACTCCCTACCTTCCACCAGGCATGACCCTACCCGCAGTACTGTACAACCTGCAGCCAAACTCCCTGGGGCCAGACATTAAAGCAAACTGACAACCAACACCTAGTAGGGTGTATAACTCAGTGGTAGAATGGACAAGGGCAGGACCTTGGATTAGATTCTCAGCCTCAAACACAAACAAGCACAAAAAATGTCTACTATTTTATTATGCAGAGAAATGTCTATTATTCTTTGTATAAAGTTCTATCTTCTAGGCTTTGCCTTCCATTTGTTTCTTTCAAAGCCCAATAAATACCCACTGGCATTTTCTTAAACAAATGAGACAATTAACCCCCAGTGGGAACTTGGTCTTGCTTCTAGTCCAGCTGGTCCAGTGGCAGCAGCTTTGAAAAATGAAATTTTTTTCTTTCTCTTACCTAGAGGTAAAAACTACACCTTCATCTTTTATTGCTATATGCATTGGCAAAGGACAAAATTACAATTTAGCTTAAAGATATCAATTAGGTTTCTTTTTTATTCTAAAATCAGGTAACACTTCATTTCACAAAATAGGATGAGTACAAGATAAATAAAATAGGACTGGGCAATTACTCAGGGTACAGCATGAGCTTTGCATACTCGAGGCCCTGAGTGCAATCCCATCATCATCACACCGAAAAAACAAAAGAAGTAAATAAAATACAAAGATGGAGACCCCAGTGACTGCAATTTCCAATGTTATTCTCCATATCACTTGTATCTTTAAATGAAGCGGAATTAATTTATTCTAAATAAGTTTGAAAGATCCAGGGAACATTGGTCAGACAGTCACTGGGAATTCCATTTCCCACCTGGAGAAAATGAAATTACAAAAGTACCAGAAGAAAGAGAGAGGAGATTAGAGCTTTAGTTTCTGGAATCTTAATTCATTATCATTCATCAGATTTTACTGACACTTTCAAACCAACAGCCAGCAACTCACGTTTTATTGTTGTACGGTTTACTCTGACAGATCTCTGGGGACAGGTAGTAAGGTGTTCCAACACAAGTCCGGGCAAGTTCCATGGAACTAGTAAATTATATTAAATAAAAGTAGTGTGGTTGATTATTGGAGTAAGAAAGGTTTAAGATATAGACATGTGAGAAAAGGTATAAAAATGGATCACAAAATTTGATACTTACAAACATTAGAAGAAAGCAAAACACCATACATTGGTAATAGAGTAATAAAATTAGTAGATTTTTAAACTTATAATTCACCTCCTCCCCAAGTTTACATTGTGTGTGTTGGGGGGGGGGTATCTTTTTAAACCATATCCTGGGGCTGGGGATGTGGCTCAGTGGTAGAGCACTTGCCTAGCATGCACAAGGCCCTAGGTTTCATCCCTAGCACAGAAAAAAAATTTAAAAATTAGGTACATGGTTATGCCACATGTTATTTGATTTTATAATTTCCCAATTATTAGTAAACTATTATTTAAATTATTTCAAATTTCAAAAAAATTGACATCGTTAAATCTCTTGATTTATATTACCACCAAATGGTCTTCCAAAAGAGTTCACAGTACATTTCCCTAGCAAGTGTAAACCTGCCTGTTTCCACCCAATTCTTACTAGTTTGATGCCTGTGACAGTCAAGTCTCACATTTGATAAACTTGGACCATACAATACAACACCACCACCATCATTCAATGATGCCACAATTAATCTTGGGAATTTTAATTACTGATATCTGAATGGATTTAATGCATTTATATAAAGTTATCTAAAATTATTTAGACAACCATGTTCTTAATAGTTTCCTAATTCATGACACTTGGGTAGAAAGAAAAATTATTTTTAAAAGTACTTACTTATTCAGGACTCTTGCTATACCAAAGTCCCCAAGTTTTGCAACCATTCCATTCTTGCTAAGAAAAATGTTCTAAAAATGGGAAAATGTTACACTGTTTGAGATATTTCAAGAAAAGACAAGACTCATACTGTCTGAGCCTTCTCTCTGAGCTGTTACCTGCGATTTTATGTCCCTGTGTAATATCTTCCTGTCGTGAATATGTTTTAGTCCAAGAGAAATCTGTATAAACCAACCCAGGATCTGTGGAGGCAAACATAATACGCAACTATTGGCTAGCCTGGTAGCCATTGAAATGCCCTCATTATAACACGTAAAGAGAGAGAAATAATATTTTTGTGTGTGTGTTTATAGGAGAGGAGCTAATAAATATTATCTTATCATATTGTTTTTCTCTTACAGCTAGAAACATAGAGGCCCAGAAAGGGAATGCAAACATCACTGGTATCACAGGAATTCCACAACAGAAGAAGACAAATGAGCAGGGGAGGGAAGCCCTGAGTTCAATCCCCAACACTGCAATAAATAAATAAATAAATAAAACAAAAACAACAACAATCAAAAAACTCAATTATATTTTAGTCATAATTTTATCTTAGTTGGCCATGAGCCTCTTTATTAAAATGTGTTCTGTTCCTATAGAGATTCATTTAAATTATTCTAAAATTTCAATGGTTCTCTGCCAAATTATATAGAAAGAAGAAAATAATAAAAGAAAAATGGCTAAATTCCAGGCGTTAAGATTCCGTGGTCATTTTAGTTCTTTCCTAACAAAAGGAAATGCAATTCAAAATTTTGTCCTGAAAAGCATTTTTATAAAATGTGCCCAAATAATACCTAGATAAGAAGAAAGGAGGACTTCCATAAATACAGAATTTAATATATAATGCAAATGAGTGTAGGAAGAATGCTTGATTAAATTTACAGAGATTGAAGATAATGATTTAAAATATTCAACATTCAAAATATTCAGACGTTCAAAATTTTCAACTTTAGGAAAAAATTACATGGGCATGATGCTCTTAAATGCTAAAATAGAATAAAGAAACAAATGGCCAAAAGAAAAATGATGAGCCATTCCTGTATACTGCTTGAGACAATGGCCTTACCCATCAGCCACACAAGCCCTAATTTTGATTCCCCTCCACACACACATACTTGTGTCCTTTATGAGTACAACTCCCAGGAGGGTCCCAAAGGAGGCTTGACATATAGAAGAAAAATGTATTTGCGAAAAGAGAAAATGGGAACTAAGGCCATTATTCTTCACCTTTTCTCTTCCCCTAACCAATAAAACTAGGGTTGGGGGCTTAGCTCAGTGGTAGAGCACTTGTCTAGTATGCACAAGTTGGATTCCTAGCACCACAAAAGAAAAAAATATATATAAATTAAAAACTAATGAAACTGAACAGGCATTGTTAAGAAAATCCCCTATCTCCCTTAGAAAAGTGGGAAGCTACTTTAAGAGAACCACATGGTAAAAGAAAAGAGAGTAAAGCTATGAATATGAACATTTAAAATGGCTAACGAATATCAACATCAACATTCATACATTTTTTAAACCATAAAGTCTTATCTTAGAGGCATCCTATATAGATCATCCAAAGAGATTGTCTTCTCTTTAATTCTCAAGAAGAAATTCAATTTCAGTTCAATTACAAACATGTTCTGGGACTAAATCTACTAAGAATATGCATCCACTATTTTGAATTTCTCTAGCAAAAGCCATGCTTCATATAAACATGGTCTGCTATTTATTTTCTTTATTTTTATGTGGTGCCTGGAATCGAACCCAATGTCTCATGCATGTTAGGCAAGCGCACTATCCTTGAACCACGACCCCAGCCCAGATATGCTACTCTGACTTTATATGTTTAATACCCTCACACACACATATAAACTAAAAGGCAAATTAGAAATGCTCTTTACCTGATCTTCACTAAATAGCACTCCCCGCTGCCTGAGGATCCTTTTTGCAAGATCTCCTCCATCACAATATTCCATTACGATAAATAATCTGCTGTTTTCTGTAAAAAAGGTCATCATTTGGTGCTAGAAAATGTTAGATATTCAACATTAATTTGCCCTTCAAATTCTAGAAAGTAGAGAAATATAACAGAAAAATGCAGAATACAATTTTAAAACTCTGGCTGTGAGACTCTTCTCAGCAGAAGGTATTCAAATAATCAACAAATATATAAAAAAAAATGTTCATCATATCTAGCAATTAGAGAAATGCAAATCAAAACTACTCTTAAGATTTCGTCTCACTTAAAATCAGCATACTACAGAGCCAAATCAATGTTTATAGTAGCACAATTCACAATAGCTAAACTGTGGAACCAACCTAGATACCCTTCAATAGATGAATGCATAAAGAAACTGTGGTACATATACACAATGGAATATTACTCAGCATTAAAAAAGAATAAAATTATGACATTTGTTGGTAAATGGATGGAAATGGAGACTATCATGCTGAATGAAATAAGCCAGTCCCAAAAAACCAAAGGCTAAATGTTTTCTCTGATATGTGGATGCTGATCAACAATGGGGTTGCTGGGAAAGAATGGAGGAACTTTGGACTGGACAGAGGGGAGGGAGAGAAAGGGAGGGGATATGGGGGTAGGAAAGATGGTAGAATGAGAAGGTCATCATAACTCTAGGTACTTGTGTGATTGCACAAATGGTGCAACTCTACATGGTGTACCACCAGAGAAATGAAAAGTTGTGCTCCATTTGTGTACAATAAATTGAATTGCATTCTGCTGTCATGCATAATCAATTAGAACAAATTAAAAAAGAAGTACAACTAATAGCCAAACAAAACAAAACTAAACTAAACTTTTGGCTATGAAATCAAGATGGTCTGAATTATTTTTGTTTGTTCATTTGTTCAGTTCTGGGGATTGAATGCACAAACATTCCACCACTGAGCTACATCCCCAGATCTTTTTATTTTATTTTGAGTTAGGGTTTTGTGAAGTTAGTGAAGCTGGTCTTGAACTTGTGATCCTCCTGTCCCAGCTTCTCCAGTTGCTGGGATTACAGATGTGCACCACCTTACCCAGCCAGACTGCGTTCTAATCTCACTTCACCACTTATATTTCTTAGCTCTGTGACTCTGGGTAAATTGATTTCTCTGTGCCTTATTAACTGATCTGTGAAATGGAAATTATAGAATAGACACTTCCTCTTAAGGTTGTTGGAAGGATTTAAATGAGTTAATACCAGATGCTTAGAACAACACACTCAATAAGAGGTCAATATATGTTAACTATTATTATTTACTACAATCCCATAAGAGATTAGAAATCTGCTGTAAAAATAGCAGCTGTCTTTCCCAACATTCCAGGAAGAATTAATAGCCCTTTCTTGAATTTGGATATAAACTTGTGTTTATATAAAATTGTTCAATCATACTGTTGACACAATAGAAATTCTTCTGACTGAACTCTGCCTAACCTACTCGCTAGACCACTGAATGCTCACCATTGCTGTTGGCCACCTAAGATCACCACCAGTGGCTCCTGGGCTGTCAAGGACATCCAAGTCCCTGTGCTCCCGCCAATCAAACTGATTCTCACCAAGACAGATACAATATAAAAAAGATGTGATTATTTCTATAAAAGCATCTTTGAATGATTTTGGAGGAATTCATGAGCTGCTAAAAAAAAATTAAGATGTTGACCTCAATGTTGGATGGGACAGGTAAAATAAAATGGGAAAAGCTCTAAAAGGATTGTGGACCCAGATTACATACAAATTCTTATTGCATGTTAAAGAAAGGAAACTGAAGATTCCAGATGAGGGATATAGGTTATATAAAGAATAAGAAAAAACCAGGTCTTTGCCTTACATCAAAAGGTTAGTAAATTATTTTAAAATATATTTCTTGGTCTACATGTTTGTATCCCACAAAATCTATGTTGAAATCCTAACCCCCAAGGTAATAGTATTAAGAGGTAGGGCTTTCAGGAGGTATCAGGCCATGAGGGTGGCACCCACATGAATGTGACAAGTGCCCTTATAAAAGAGGCCCAAGGGAGAACTCTCCCCTTCCACCATGTTGAGGACACAGAAAGAAGTTACCATCTATGAACCAGAAAGTAAACTGCCGTCAGACCCTATCAGATACTGCCGATACCTTGATCTTAGACTTGATCTTGGCCTAGAGAACTGTCAGCAATACAAGTCTGTTTGAAAACTACCTAGTATTTTGTTATAGTGGACAGAAGAGTCTAAGACATATCATTTCCTAATTTAATTTTTTCATTAGCCAGTCAACCAGCCGGGATCTTCTTAGGAAGGAGAAAAAAAAAGGCTTTTACTAACTTGTTAGTTTCTCTTACTAGTTTGTGGGCTCTCTGAAGACAAAGCCCACATATTATTCTTTTGTATTCCTTATATCTAATACAGTAATTAGCACATGAAAGAGACTTCTGACCCATAAAAATTAAGAGATACATCAGGGAATACAAAGAGAGAAGGACATAGAGTCAGTTAATAAATGGCTACTGTTTTAAGCCATGAAATGTATGGTTCCTTGTTATGCAACAATAGTAAAAATATACAACAGTGCAGGAATTTTTGTGTGTTTTGTTCACTGATTGATCTCCAAGTCCTAGAACTTGCCTAGAGATAGTTAATGAGTTATGCCATTCCTCAGTATATACCCAAAGGACTTAAAATCAGCATACTACAGTGACACAGCCACATCAATATTTATAGCAGCTAAAGTCACAATAGCCAAGCTATGGAACCAACCTAGGTGCCCTTCAATAGATGAATGGATAAAGAAAATGTGGCATATATACACAGTGGACTATTACTCAACTATAAAGAAGAATGAAATTACAGCATTTGCCAGTAAATAGATGGAGGTGGAGACTATCATGCTAAGTGCAATAATCCAATCCCAAAAAAACAAGACTGAATGTTCTCTCTGATATGTGGATGCTAACACACAATAAGTGGGCAGTAGGGGGGTGGGATAGAAGTTCACATGATTAGATAAGGGGAATGAAGGGAAGAGAGGGAGATTGGGAATGGAAGAGACAGTAGAACGAATCAGACATAACTTTCCTATGTTCATATAAGAACACACCTCCAGTGTAACTCCACATCATGTGCAACCACAAAAATAGGAAGTTATACTCCATATATGTACGATACGTAAAAATACACTCTACTGTCATGTACCTAAAAAGAACAAATAAAAAATTAAAAATTTAAAAGGAAAGTTAATGAATATTTATTGGTGGAATTTAAATGCAGTTAAATTAGACTTAGGAAAACATCAGTACACATTCTTCTTAAGTTAATTCAAAACCATAAAAACCTCATATTTTTTCATAGACAAACATTAGAGCCATGGATCTAACGTTCAGAGATAAGCTGTCTTAGGATAAACAAAACCTGCTTTCACACACTCTCTCAGTCAGGGGCAACAAGGACCTCTGAAGCTTTTGAAAAAGTTTGATGTGTCTAGTATCAACAATCTGCCAAGCAAACTCATAGGCATTCTAATAGCTCCCATTTTTTCCAGCACAGAGATGCTCTACTTAACAAAATAAAACGAAAAAAAAAGTCCTAAGGAAATTTAAATTAACACTAGAAACAAACTCAGCAGAGATTATTTATAGTGTAAGAATGACCTTGGTTTTGTAACAGTATTGTAAACTTTCCTTAAAAATACATTTTGCATGGGGTAAAGATATACTGTGGTCTATTGAAAAGGTCCAGTTCATTTGCTTATTCAGCAAATACATATTGAGCAACTACTACATGCCACATGCTGAGGAACAAAGAGGTGAGCAAAAAAGACAGAAGCCCCCCAGATTCGTTAAGTTTTCTGCCTGCATTATGTGTGTGTACAGTGCTAGGGATCAAACCCAGGGCTCCATACAGGCTAAGCAAGTGCTCTACCACTGAGCTTCAGCCCCAGCTCGCGGGTGCTGTCTGAAGGAAAACAAATGCTAAATAAATCTGTAATTCTGTATATGTAGATATGCATACATAAGTTAAAAAAAAGTGCTGTGGAAGATCAGCAAAGGGTTATAGTTTGACTTATGAGTTCAGGGAAGGCCTAGGGATGAGCAGAAGTGACCTACATAAAGAAAGTCACAATAATAACAAAAAAAATTAGGAAAAGAAAGATGGTCTTATGGAGTTGTTAGGAATCAATGCACAGGAATGCAGGAGACTTTATTCATTGGCTGTCCTTCATAGTTGTTCAGGGCTAGGGTGTAGCTCAGTGGAAGAACATTTGCCTATCACGTTTGAGGCTCTAGTGCAACCCTCAGGACTATAAAAAAAAAAAAATTCACTGCCTGCCCCCATGTACTGCTTTGTTCCCAGGAAGTCTTCAGAAAAATCCTAGGAGATCCTTTATAAACCCATAGTTAAAGGACCAGATGCACAGAAGTACTTTGAATCCAGGGGGTTTAATCAGGAAGGAGCACAGTACCCTGCACGGAATTAAAAACTCAAGAAAGAGTGGGTGTATTTATTTATTAATTTTTTTAACCACTGGATTATGCTTGACAATATCTAGGTTAACTACTTACACACAAATTAAAATAGCTCAGTACTGGGGGCTGGGCTGAGGACCACCCCAACCTTGGTGAACTATGGGCATATATGGCCCTGCCACAGCCTATAAACACCTGACACACCCTATACTGGTGCACTGTCTCTCTCTTCCCATTTTAATGTAAACTTCATGAGGACAGGGGTTTTGTGTTTTGTACACTGCTGTATTCCTGATATATGGAATTAAGCTTAAGTAAGCATTCAGTTAATGGATACTAACTGAATAAATGGTCTTTGACCAGGACTCTCTTATTTTTCTTTTTAACCTTTGTAAGAGTGATGGATGGAGGCAGAATAGATAAATTCAAGCTGTGCAGGGGAGGGAATTCCTTCCTCAAAGTTCTTCGCCTCTAATGGGCAGTTCGCTTGGCTGTCTTCTGGCTGTTTGCTGACTCTCTATGAAAGGATTACGCAGCCCTGTTGCCCTGGGACACTCAGGGCCTCCTGAAAGCAGAGTATACCCCCTTACACACATATCCTAGTGGGCATGATAGTGTGGTGCTCCGTGTCTTCCTCTTTCCTCTTGCTAAGAAAAGAGTATGCTCTGTCTAGGTTGTCCCTTCAGCCCGGAACCCAAAGTTCAGACCACAGCTTGCCCACAGCCAGCACATAATGTGAGTGATAAAGAGGTGTTTATAGCATGGGCCATGGAAACTCGGGAGTTGTTACTGCTGCAAATCTAATATGCCAATCGTCGACTACTTTGGGGAGTGAGATTAAGATGAGAGGGGAAGACTTAATAAAACAGAAGAAAGCTGTCTACAGAAACCCACTAGAAGATAACATCTCAAACTGCAATTTAAGTAAATGGGAAAATTAGTCCATTTATAAAAATTAATGTATACACAAGTCTCAGGAACATCTTTTATAAGTCAACATGTCTATACTTAAGAATATTAGAAAAATCTCACCTTGAAATGAACTAAAGAAGGTTACAATGTTGGGATGTTTCATCTTGGCCAAAAGAATCACTTCTTTCTTTGAAGCTTCTTTGTCTTGGATAGGCATCTAAATTATATTAAGAGACAAGATAACAAGAGTTATCTGTGAAGATAACTTACTTTCAGGAGCATGCTTCTGTTGTAGGGACAGAGGCAAGGCACCGAAGATAGCAGGAAACAGTTTTATTTGGCTACAGCCAGGTTCAGAGGGCACAGTTTTTGCTGTAATCAATTAATCCCCTGAACCCCGAGTTCAGGGAGTTTCAGAGTTTTATACCCAGCAAGTAAGGGAAGGGGCTCAGAAGTTCACAGTCTGCAGAAGTTCACATAAAAGCAGCTTTTTCTTTCCCTTTTCTGGGCAAGTTAACTCTTCAAGGACAACACCTGAGAAGGGGAGAGCTTCTTCTCCCCTTCTTTCCTCTCCCTGCCAGCTGTTACCATGGAGCCCAATTGTAACTTATCTTAAAAATGTAGACATCTCTGTGAAACCCCAGCTCAAGGCCAGAGGCCTTGTTTGCACATTTCTTCAAAGTACTATACTGGATATGCTTGTGAAAAAGTAATAAGGGGGTGTTCAGCACCTGGAGTGCTGGTATCTTCCCGGCCAGTGGCCAAGTAAATAGGGCTACACAAAAATAGGAAGTTTATCTATATTGGACTCTTCCTCAGAGACTCTTTTGCTGACAGTCCTAAAATCAGGCATGGTGAAGAGGGCTTTTCTGTGGAGAAAAGGGGTGCCACTTTGCTTCCTGTACTCCCACCTAAAATTCCCTAGGATGCGCTGGGAATGTAGCTCAGTGGTATAGCGCATGTTAAGCATGCATGAGGCCCTGGGTTCAAACCCCAGCACCGAAATAAATGAATTACATTAAATTCCTAAGATGAAATTGGTTTTTAATGTCACTTCTAAAACCCATCTCCTAGGTAGAGAAGATGACATCTCTAGAATTAGTAAAGTGTTCCATATTTAATCAACATTTGTCAATGGGAAACATAATCAAGAAAATAAATACTGCTGGTGCAATTTTACTGTATTAAAAGTCAGAAGCCAGGTGTGGTGAACCACACCTTTAGTCCCAGGTACTGGGGAGGCTGAGGCAGGAGAATCACTTGAACCCAGGATTTTGAGATCAGTCTGAGCAATATAATGAGAACCTGTTTCAAAAATAAGTAAGTAAAAGTTGTCCCCCTCCTCATCTGTTTCTATTTTTTAAAAAGACAAATACCCTGATAGAAAAACAGCAAAGCAGCATGGTCTGATGGCACTGCCTGTAGAGCACCCCCTGGGTTCAATCCCTAGTGATGCGCTTGCACACATTCTCTCTCTCTCTCTCTCTCTCTCTCTCTCTCTCTCTCTCTCTCTCACACACACACACACACACACACACACACACCAAAAAAAAAAAAAAAGAAAAAAAGAAGACAAAAACAGCAAAGCAACATACACAAAAAAGAAAGAAAATAAAGGAATTAAATATGATCAATAAATAGGAAAAAATAGGGGCTGGGGCTGTAGCTCGGTGGCAGAGCACTTGACTATGCATGTGTGAGGCTCTGGGTTTGATCCTTAGTACCACATAAAAATAAATAAAATAAAGGCATTCTGTCCATCTACATATACAAAAAAAATTTTAAAGTAGGAAAAAATACATCATTCAGGAATCAAAGGAATAAAAGCTAAAACAAAATTGGCAAAGATGAAAAGAATGTTAACAAACACTATGGGCCAAAAACCCAGCAAAATAGACATTCATATTTCTGGTAAAAGTCCATACATTGGTAAAATCTTTCTGAAAAGGTAATTTTATAATGCATAATATGAAATTTAAAACTATTCCTATTTTTGAATAATTCTAGAAAAATTTCCAAAGAAAAGAATAAAAAAAGCCAGGGCCACAGATGAAGAAGAAATGATGGAAATTCATTTGAAAATCAAATGGGGGTGGGGAGAACTGCCTCAATACAGGCTATTCAGTGGATTATAATAATAGTGGAGGGTTGAAATGTAGTTTCAAAAGTGGACAATTTCTGTTCTTACATCTGTTTATAAAGAAAATCATAATGTCTTGAAATCACTCTTATGTAAATAGATGACCTTTTTGCAGTGTAAATAAATAAATAATGTGCCCAGGAGTTATACAAAATTCTTTAATACAGTGTTTTATTGCTGGTTTTTAAATTACTCTAATAATACAGACTTGTAAATTTGATTGTTTGGAGTGACAGGGATAGAACCCAGGACCGTGTGTGCTACAAACTCGCTCAACCTCTGAGCAACACTCCTAACCCTAAAGTCCACTTAATCATTAAAAATAGTCTGGAGAACAAAACAAATTTTTTAAAAAAACACCGAGCTACATCACTAGCCCTTTTTATTTTTCATTTTGATACAGCAAGCTAAGCTGACAAGACTGGCCTTGAACTTGTGATCCTCAGCCTCCCTAGCAGCTGGAATTACAGGTATGCACTACCGAGACCAGCTTGGAGAGAAATTTTTTAAAATGCTTATAGTGAATAATTAAGAAAGATGTCATAAATTATCTTTGTTTTCCTCTAAAAGTTCTTATTTTCCTCTTTGCTTATTTTCAAAATTTCTACAGTGAATGTTTTTACCCTTATAATTAAGAAAAGATACAGCATGCACAGGGACCTGAATTCAATCCCAGAACTGCCAAATAAAGGGGGGTATGGTGGAGAGACAAGATACAACACTTTTTTTTTTTTAAGCAATATATAAAAAAGAACATGTTTAATAACAGTAGAATGATAAGAGAAAATATTAGTTTTTTGATACCTGTAAGAAAATAAGCAATTTAAATTCTGACCTAGAGTTATTGAGTGGTGAGGTACTGGAGAGATGAGAAGAAATGTAAATTTCTCTAGACAAGAAATAATAAAAAGCTACAATAGAGCAGACAGGAAGAAATATGTAATCAATTTTTTTGTAATCAGTGTTGATACTATGACAGCAGTGTCACAGGCAAATCTGATAGCATAAAGAATATATGGGGAGATGAGAATAATGGGTTCTAAAATAGCATTCTACTTATTTATGGAACATAGTTAAATGATGAATACAATTAGTATTGCACTAAAAAAACAGTTTGTGATTATACTAACAATTTGGATAGATGCTATGAAATGAGTTGATAAATATTTTTATAAAAAAGTTTTTCTGTTTTTCTGGTACTGGGGATCAAACCCAAGGCCTTGTACATCCTAAGTAAGCACTCTACCACTGAGCTATATCCCAGCTCTAGAAGTTTTATATTTTTATGGAGTCAACCCAGCCACCTTTTCTTTTATGACTTTATAACTTCCAGTGAAGTTTGGGAGCGTGGCTCTAGCATTATGAAAATTGTACTATAGAGGCTGGGATTGTGGCTCAGAGGTAGAGCACTTGCCTAGCACATGCAAGGCCCTGGGTTTGATCCTCAGCACCACATTAAAAAATAAATAAATAAAGGTATTGTGTCCAACTATAACTAAAAAATAAAATATTTTTTTAAAAAAACTGTACTATATGAAAAATGGAGCCATGAGAAAGCTGCTGGAGGACCCAAGTCTATGTGACAAAAGAAATTTAAGCAAATTCAAGGAAGAGAAAGAGTCCAGAGTATTTAGCAGATAATTGGAATTTGGAGAGAGAAAAGACTCACAGATGACCCCAAGATTTGGAGCCCAGATAACATAAAGATATTGATGTCATTAACACAGTGCAGTATGGGGGTGGTGAAATGGGTCTGCATATAATGATGGGAAATTCCCACTTGGTTTTGGGCACAGTTGTGGTAACTAGCTCCCAAATGGTCTCAATGATCCTTGTCCTAAATTCTGTCTTATTTTTTTTTTTAAATTAACAAGAGTAAAAATATATTTAGTTCATGTAATAGCTACCTTGAATTTTGGCAGAGTTATACATTATAATCCCCTGTTTGAGATCCTAGTAATCGTGACAAAAACCAACATTTGGATACAACTTTAAATGTACTGAAATCTGGTCTACTTCTTTCATAGTCACTTTCACATGCAGTGAGATGGGACACAGAGCCTTATCTCAGGTAAGGCGGGGCTCTTCATAAATCTTAAGTACTGTAGTTCTGAAGCTGATCTTTGCTTTTTAAACATCATTTTACAAGGCCTACATAAATTGTTGCTCAAGTTTACATGAATATTAGCTAACACAATATAATATCACACCTAAAACATGAATTAAAGAAAAGCTGAAAGCTTTTAACCTTTTGTAGAAAAGTAGCAAAGTATTTTTGTGTTTTACAATAAAACCTTTACACAGATTAGGCTCTCATTAACTTAAAAATATATTTAAATTGTATCTTAGTATAAAAAGTAACATAGAACTTTACATATCTTATTGATAATAAGTCCAGTTATAGAACACAAATGATATAAATAAATCTCCAACATGTTTTTCTTTTAAGCCTAATATTACCATACAACTTTAGAACACCAGCTTGATATAAGGCTCTTTTAAAGCTTCTACCTTATAGATTTGTATACCTGGAAGATATGAACAAATAGCACCACAATTACATTGATGTTTTTATATTAACCAAGTTTAGCTTTTAAAGAAATAACATAGCACAATTCTCTAAAACAACAGCACTTGTTTAACCAGCTGTTTAATTTCTTTAAGATTACTTGCTCAAAAACTTACACATATAACCAACTTACACAGACCTTCTTTATCACTTACTTAAACCCTCTTATTAACTTAATCACATAAACTTTTATCCAGAAACGCATTTTCCTTCTATTAAATCCATACCTAGAACCTTTTAATTTCTCTTTTCCATCTGTTAACCTCCTTTTCTGTTCACATTTTGAAACAATACTTGTAAATTTCTGAATTTAAGCAGATTATTTCATAGACATCAACATTTTATTAGGGTCTTTTTTAACACCTAGAAAAACTTATAATCTTATTTTTAAAGACATCTTTACTTTTATCTGTTTACCCAATTTAAATTGAACCATTTGAATCACGTGAATCAAAGACATTTGGATCCATTTTTTAAATTTTTCATGAGCGCTCCTCATATATCTGCAAATTGTCATATAATTGCATGATATATGGACATACACATATAGACATACAACACGTAACACAAGTGTGCACACATACACAATAGTAAAGGCCTTGTAGCTTTTCTCAGGTGAAATCTCCATTGCAATGTTTAAAAAAACTCCACAGTTGATCAAAAATCGAACTGATTAGAAAAACATTAACTTAGGTCGGTAGGATCAAAATCATGAGCTCAAAAAAAAATACAGAATTAAGAAAAAGAAAAAGTCCTAGAAAAAAATTGACCGGCCAGTAATTAGTAAATGCCATACAATTTACTCTTTGGTTTAATGTAGTTTGAGTTCAGGTAAAAGACACCTTTACTTTTTTTCCCCTCAGTCTCCTACTGAGCCCCAGGCTTCTTCTATTTGCATATCAACTTAAGTCCTGGCTGAGGTCTGGAAGGAACTGGGAAAACTGGAATTCTGAGCAGAAACCTCATGCCTAAGGCATTTTAACCATAAGTCACAATTTTCAGGTTTGGATGTTGAAAATTATGATACAAGTTTAAGATACAATTCACAAAATTTCATACCTCTACATCTTTCTACACTAGAAAAACTTGCTCACACAAAACTGAAAATAGGATCTCACTTGATAATATAAAAGCTACCATCAGAAGAAATTCCTTCAGGATCATTAAGCCACATCCTTTATTCTGAAGTTCCTAAAGTAGTATTAAGTTACCTTAAATCACCTGAAAAAAATTCCAAAAGAGAACCACACACTACCATGTATATCCAAAATTAAGCTTTAAAAATTTCCAAGACTGTTGCTATTTAATGTCATTTTAATAAGCCAGACCAGCGTTCCAATTCAACACTTTTCTTTCCTAAATCTTACACACTGAGAGGAACAGATACCATATCATAATTTACTATCCTTGCCCAAGTTAATGCACTGGTACACCTAGTGAAATCTTCTCAGGCTACCCAGTTCAAAAATTGATGAAAAAAATAAAACTAAATGATTGGGAGTTACTTGCCAACTTGGAAGTAGAGTTCTTTAATTTTCCATCCTAAGTATTTAGCATGAACTATCTGAAATCACAAACTAAACAATTACCTAACCCCAACTTTTAACTGCAAGATTGTGCAATGCTTCAAACTCATTTAGATACCAGATGTTACAATGAAACATCATCTTTTAGACACACATTTAGCCTAAATTATCCCCAAGAAACAATTTATAATAACTTTAAAACAGACAGACCAGATAAGAGAAAATCTCCCCAGGTTTCTAATTTCCATTTAATTATGACTCCTACATCAGTGGCACCATAGATTTCCCCACCAGTGGACCAGATGTTTTCACAGAGGGGCAACTATAGGTGTAAAATCAAGGGTCTTGGTGTGGCGACTTTACTGCATTCAGTGTCCCCTTCTTTTTAAGTAGACAGAGATGGAGCAATCCTTACAGTGCAGGGAAGAAATGAGGAGGTTCCCCAAAGCAAAATGGCTTTGGCAGCTGCTGGGAGTCCCTCAGTCTCTCCTTTTACTTATAGGATTAGCTCCTTTGGTTAGATCCAATTCCAGGCAATCTGGCATATCTCCTAACTTTCCAATAGTCAGTTTTTATCTGCCTTAGGTCTTGAAGGGGGAAGGGGGTATGTACTTTGATCGGCCCAAATTCTCCTGGCATCTCCTGGAGAGGTAATATATTTGGTTTGCCTGTTGGGGCAGAGGCAGAGAGGCTAGCCGATGGAGATTTTGTGGGTCCTCCTGATTCTTTTTCCTCAGTGAGTCCCCAAGATTTTCTCTCTTCATGGCAGATATCATAGCTAAGTCTACTTTACACTGTTGGCATAATTTAGGATTTTCCCTTAGAGCAAAGAAAACCTGAACATACAGCACCTCACCCCATTTCCCTTTTTTGTAAATTTTATCAAGCTGTAAAATTGTATTAAAATTGATATTTCCCTCTGGTGGCCAGGTTTCTCCATCAGAGAGTTTGTATTGAGGCCAGGCCAAGAAAATGAGGCGCTTTTTCTTGAGTACTGAGAGTCAAATCTATCCCAGTTTTTCAATACGCAGGCTAGTGGTGCACCTGGCGTATTGGAGAGAGAGAAGCTCCCGTCTGAGTGAGAAGAAAACAGGATTCAGGCGCCCACACCGCGCCAGAGAAAACTGTTCTCATTAGGGACGTCTCCCTAAGCTTGAGCTTCCTAAAGGGTCCAGAAAACCCGTCTCTCACCTTGCTTTGCCAAGGGGTTTCTGGTCCCCTTTAGCAAAGTGCTAGGGTCTCAGTTTGCCCTGTGCCAGAGACCCTGGGAGGATTCAGACTTAAGGGCATCACTGCTTATCCTCCCGGCCACTAAAAACCCATTGCAAAAGAGAAACGTGCACTCTTTTGTTGCCTTTGCTCTGTAGACTAAAGGAACCGCCTAAGGGTTAAGGGATATCTACTGGTTATAAGGTAGCAGATTACTGGAGGAGTTGATTCTAAAAATGCCTCTCTAGCAGCTTAAGGAACACAACACATTTTAAACATTGGGGCAGTAAAACAGACTAGTGAAATTTACCTATGCACCTTAGGGAACCTGGGCAGATTTTACTAATTATCTCATGCCTTTCTCAGTCCTGCAACCTGAATTGCTAACATTTCTGACCAACAAAGAAGGGGAGCATCCAGGAGGGAATGGATGCGGATTTGGGAGTGTTGCATAGCCCATACGGAAGCAAATGTGATTGGGGCTTTCCCTCAGTGCCATTCATCTACCGATCACCTAGATACCCCTGAGGGCTGTCGGGAGGGGGCTCAAGAGAAAGGAATTTAGGACTACGTCTGAGTGTAGCCCAGACCGGAATTCCGCAGTTGTTCCAAACTCCTTCCTCCACCTCCTCGCATCCGAGGCAGACCGGGATTCGGGACACTGTGTACTCACACCAATTGCTCTCCGGGCCCAGACAGAAAAGTTGGAAGTGGCTTTGACAGAACCCAACATGCCTGCTCTGTACCGAACAGGTGATTGAGAGCTGCCTAGGCCGGGAAACCTCTCACCCGAGTCTTGAAGAGTGGCGGCTGCACTAATTGCGTTTAAGTAGCCGTCGGGTGCCCACCTTACCCTCCAGAAAGAAAGAGAAAGGTGCACCTCAGACAGACATGGGGTGCATGAGAGGGCTTACCTCGGTGTAGAAGAATCTTGGTGGGACCTCCAATATGTTACCGCTGTTGACCGGTGACGAGTCCTTGCTTCCCCAATGTTGAAGAATAACACCAGAGAAGCACGCCGAGGCAAGGTCAGAGTAGAAATTAGAAGTTTATTAAAGGACAGCAGAAAAGACTTCTCCCGGAGGAAGAAGGGGACCCAAGAGGTGGAATCCCTTTTTTTTTTTTTGTACCAGAGATTGAACCCAGTGGCACTTAACCTCTGAGCCACATTCCCATTGTGTGTGTGTGTGTGTGTGTGCGCGCGCGCGCATGCACAGTGCTGGTGATTGAACCCAGGATCTTGTGCATGCAAGACAAGCACTCTATCAACTAGGCTATATCCCCAGCACCCTCCAGTCTGGTTTTTATTTTTAATTTTGAGATAGGGTCTAAGTTACTGAGCCTGGCTTTGAACTTGTGATCCTCCTACCTCTGCCTCCTGGCTGCTGGGATTACATGACCACATCCAGCCCTTGTCCTAAATTCTTGGTGCATAGAAACTGTGAGATGATTAATGTTTAGCATTTAAGGAACTAATATGTTACACAGCAATAGATCATTAACATAGATATTACTTAGAGATATCTAGCTGGAAGGTGAAATGTGGAATGAAGGAGCAGGAAGAAGAGTAATCTGCTTAGTGGTAAACACTGAAGTGAAATGAAGTGATTACCAGGTGCTTATGTGCAGAAAGAGAAGGTCAGCAAAGGGCAGATGACTGGGGACATACAGAGAGTGAGGTAAGAGAGGGGCCTCAGGAACAGCAGTCAGATAAACAAAAATGAGTGAGCAGAACAAAGTCATAGAAGAAGACTATAACAGGCTACTAGAATAAGAGAACACTATGAATATGCCATGGATCCATAATACGGGACCTGTATTGGCAAATTGCATTATGTCTGAAGTTAATCATTCACACATGAGGTTTAACTTAGGTTTGGGTAGTTTTTAGGGAGTTTCTTTTACAACTTTCTTTTAAAGTTCTTTTACAACTTTAAAAATTGTGGTAAAATATATAAAAGACACAATATATACTATTTTAATCATTTTTAAGAGTGCAATTATTCTTAACAAAAATTGGAACTTCTCAACTTTACCTTTGCAAAATTGATCTCTTTTATGACACAGTGCTTGCTATCCAATTTTTCTTTAGCCAAGTATGCTTTTCCAAAGGCACCTTCCCCAATGATTTTAATCATGTCAAATTTATCCATGGTCTTCAGTGCTCGAAGGTTTCTGGGAATAAGGTATTGAAATTTTACTGCACATTCCTCATGACAACTAACAAAGTCAGATTTTTTTTTTTTTTTTTTTTTTTTTGGTACTGGAAATTGATCTCAGAGGCACTTAACCACTGAGCCACATCCCCAGCCCTATTTTTTCATGATCCTCCTGCCTCAGCCTCCCAAGCCGTTTGTATTTAATGGGCGTGTGCCACTGCAACGGGCCAAAGTCAGAAAATTGATGACTAAAATATAAAAGAACTGACGTTGCTAAAATTTCCCTTCAAACTTTGCAAAGACAGAGTCAAAAAATTTCCTTGCATTGTGACCTTGAGCAAGTCACTTAACCTTGCAAAACCTCACTTTTCAGGTTTTAAATGGAAATAATACCTGTGTTGAAAGTTTGTTCTGACAAGGAAAGATCTTATATCCCTGGTGCCTGTCACCTCCAGGGAAGAGGAATATTCTTTTTGTCGGTGTGGTAGCACAATCTAGCCCTTCTCAGTGAGAAGGTGCTGCCCCCTAGGGGAAGCTTGTAAATTGATACGGGGTTTTCAGCTCTGCACAGAATCAGAGGCATTACAGTATTTAGAGGCAGTTAGGGTCTGCATTACTAGTTGGCAAGCGAAGGCCTGCCCTACACAGTAAAGGATTGCCCCGCCGCTCAAACTTGGAAAGTCTCCTCGTATATTTATATGTGTAGAAGAATCCGTTCACAATTATCTGCGGCTTGACCCAAACTCTGTTTTACCTCTAGACATTATATATATATATATATATATTCCTACAGGTATAACTCACACTGCATTTCCTACGAATGCAATTTATATATATGAAATCTTTTTTGAATTTTGGAACTTTACCAAAAAATTGATCACCATCTTTGAAAATCACGCCCTCCATTGGTCGCGCTCAGAGACCCAGCAATCTTCATGCCGCCGCCACATTCAGGCGACTGCATTACTACTTTGTAGTAGTGCTACGCACTTACAGAGGGAAATACACACTTTGTCTCCTTCTACTTCCCTTTATGCTACCATTAGGACATAACGCGGGTTTTTAAAAATCGAGTGAACAAGACAGGTTGTTTTTCCATGTCAGGGTAGGAAGTGGGCACCAAAGCGTTGCCAGTGGAGACTACGGGCACCAGAAGACCAGGTTCTGAACCAGGCGGGGGCGCAATCGCGGGGATTCAGACCACCAGTCCTGGAATAGAAGGCGCATGACAGAGGTAATAGTAAGTGGAATCCCTCAGGCTTAGAGGGGCCTCTACTTGAGAACCACCCTTGGAGTTTGCTGGCTGGAGGACTGCCGGGTCGCCGCCTGTGCTCTGGAGCTCAGCGTCTTGCGCGTTGCCATGGAGCGCGACACAGCCCTAGACACTAAGCAGCTCCTCGCCTGCCCGGCCCCCAGTCTGGGACTCCATCCGCCCTCCCCACCCCACTCCCATCACCCCCGCCCCCTGCGGATCCTGGGGCAGCTCCAGCTAGGGACGAGGCCTGCCCGCAGCATACCTTTCTCCCGGCTCCTGGCTCCGCTGGGCCAGCAAAGCGTCTGGGTGGATCCAGGTTTCCCGGGCAGCTGAGACTGCCGGTGGCCTGGGCGGAGCCAGTGAGGGAACACAGGGTGCCGGGCTAGAGACAGGACACCTGTCTGCACCGTTCACCCTGAAAAAAGGGCAGAGACCTGGGAGTTTGGAGACCCAACAGATAGATCACTAATCTCCTAATGCCTTAGGTCGCGACCGCTAGCATAACACAAGATCTATACCGCTCCCCGCTCTTTTTAGGGAGCACCTTGCATACATTTTTCTCTGTTCTTTAAATCACACTCCAAAGAGGTAGTCTCCCAGTTTTACAAAATGAACCTAACCGAGACAGGAAGCGTATTATTTGTTTTTGTCATGGTGGTGGTGCTGGGTATCAAACCAGGCACTTGGCGAAGGTTGAGCCAGTGCTCTACCACTGATCTACACTCTGAGCAGGAAATGTGTGTTGTACAGGGCCTTAAATACTGTCATGGGTGTATGTGAGACACATCGGGTCCTACTCTTGGCCACAACCTCGCCTTCCTTTGGGTCCCCTTACAAACTATCTGCTGCCCAGTAGTTTGCAAACTCGTCCTCTCACACCGTCCTATTCCTGATTGGCACATCAAGTTGCGGTCTAATACAGTTCATTACCTGTCTAAGTAGTTGAAAGGATGTAACTTTCACCAAAGGTAAATCCTGACACAAGTAGAACACGTCCATATCCAATGAATCTAAATAACATGACCATTTAACCCATCTTTGACACTCATACATTGCTGGTGGAACTGCAAATTGGTGCAGCCAATATGGAAAGCAGTATGGAGATTCCTTGGAAAATTGGGAATGGAGCAACCATTTGACCCAGCTATCCCTCTCCTTAGTCTATACCCGAAGGACTTAAAAACAGCACACTACAGGGACACAGCCACATTGATGTTTATAGCAGCACAATTCACAATAGCTAAACTATGGAACTACCTAGATGCCCTTCATAGATGAATGGATTTTAAAAAATGGCATATATACACAATGGAATATTACTCAGCAATAAAAGAGAATAAAATTATGGCACTTGCAGGTAAATGGGTGCCGATGGAGAAGACAATGCTAAGTTAGCCAATTCCAAAAAAACAAATGCCGAATGTTTTCTAAGGTGACTGACTCATAGTGGGGTAGGGGGGGAAACATGGGAGGAAAAGACGAACTCTAGATAGGAAAGAGGGGTGGGAGGGGAAGGGAGGGGGCAGGGGGTTAGCAAGGATGGTGGAATGTGATGGACATCATTATCCAAAGTACATGTATGGAGACATGAATTTGTGTGAACATACTTCATATACAACTAGAGATATGAAAAACTGTACTTTATATGTGTAATAAGAATTGTAATGCATTCCTCTGTCATTTATTTTAAAAAAAATCAATAATGAAAAAGTAACCTACATTTGTCCAAAAACAAACCAACCAACCAACCACTGCCTGTAAAGATCTATCAACAACTAAAAAAAAAAAAATTTTTTTTTTTAAAGGACACTAAGTTTGAGGTTAGCCTCAGCAACTTAGTGAGTCCCTGTTTCAAAATAAAATACATAAATAGGGCTGGGAATGTAGCCCAATGATAAACACACACACAATCAATCCCATCAGTTTTTCTTCATTCCCGCCCCTTATTTTATCCCCAGTTCTGGTGATCTTGAACCCAGGGGTGCTTTTACCACTGAGCTACTTCCCAGTCTTTCCCATGCTCCCTGCCCTTTTGGAGACAGGAAAAATTGCAAAAACTGGCCCTCAAACTTGCCATCCTCCTGCCTCAGCCTCCTGAATCACTAGGAGGCATTTGCATGGCCCCTTCCTTTTTCTTAAAAACTATTAAGTGCTTGGGCTGGGGATGTGGCTCAAGCGGTAGCCTGCTCACCTGGCATGTGCGGGGCGCTGGGTTCGATCCTCAGCACCACATAAAAATAAAATAAAGATATTGTGTCCACCGAAAACTAAAAAATAAATATTAAAAAAATCCTCTATCTAAACAACAACAACAACAAAAAACTATTAAATGCTGAAAAATCTCATCTAAATACAGACACAGGACTAGAAGCTTTGTAAAAATTATCCCTCAATTTTGCATAGTTGTATGTGCAGAATCATACAGTAATTATCACAAAAAATGGTTTATAATCATCACCTGATAATTCCATTCACTTCCTGAAATTTTATTGAAGCAAACAATCCTACAAACCATTGGATTTTCAAAATAATTAATCCAAGACTCATTCAGCCTCTTATACATTCAAGATCCCTTTAATTGATGTTTTGGAAATGTTTATACCCTGGGGCAATGCTAAGATTTGAGATGACTGAGAGCTATAAAATATAGTGTATATGGAAACTGAGGATCTGTAAATACCTTTAAAACTATCTGTGCCTGCCTTAACTTTTTTTTAAGAGAGTAGTGACTACCTCCAAGGAGCTAATCACAATCCACCTCATTCTCCCCATAGCTAATCCTCTGACTGGGTTCTTTTGTATATCCTATAAGAATCTGTATTTAAGGATAACTACCCAGAGCTAGATCTTATTTAAAAACTGCACATATGCTGGGCACTGCAGTGTATGCCTATAATCCCAGCAGCTCAGGAAGCTGAAGCAGGAGGGTTACAAGTTCAAAGCCAGTCTCAGCAACTTAGTGAGGCCCTGAGCAACTCAGTGAGACCCTGTCTCTAAATAAAATACAAATTTGAGGGCTATCTCAGTAGTTAAGTGCCCCTGAATTCAATTCCCAGTACCAAATAAATAAATAAATAAATAAAATCACACACATTATATTCTAAGTAAATGTATTTAGATCTGCAAACCTTGAGGAAATGTGAAAATTGTTATAGTAATAAACACAAGTTGTAGCAACAGGAATAGTTAACATATGAGCTGCTAAAACTATCTATGGTCAGCATCCCCAAGAGGTAGGCATCATTATCCTCATTTTATTTCTTTTTTTTTAATTTATTTTTTTTATTGTTGGTTGTTCAAAACATTACATAGTTCTTGATATATCATATTTCACACTTTGATTCAAGTGGGTTATGAACTCCCATTTTTACCCCATATACAGATTGCAGAATCACATCAGTTACACATCCATTGATTTACATATTGCCATACTAGTGTCTGTTGTGTTCTGCTGCCTTTCCTATCCTCTACTATCCCCCCTCCCCTCCCCTCCCATTATCCTCATTTTATAACTAAGAAAATTTGGGGTCAAAGAAGTTAAGTAATTTCCTACCATCGATCACATTACTAGTTAGTGGTAGAGCTAGCATCCAACCTATGTTCTATAAGATTG